GGTCAAAGATTGACGATTGTAGATGATACCATTGTCGAACTATTGAGGTCCAAAGTTTTTAGGTAAATAGCCAAAATCTAGAGAACGGTTGATAAATTGCAGAAATCATTTGTCTCATGATGTGACCCAACAATTTTTAACGACGAATAACAAGTTTCAGCTCGCTAACTGATATGGTCTCAGAGATAAATCGGTCTAAGTAAAAATCGAACTTATGTCCTTTATTTTAAACTTAAAACTTTATTTCTAAAAATAAATGCATTTTCTGGTTTGCCATAAAAACCTGGCCCTGAGAAATGAGTTTGATGAAAAAAGCTGTTTCCATAGCTGAACAAAAGGCAATCGAAGTTTCAACTTTGACCTCAATTTTCTCGAAAACTGTCTATCGGAAGAATTATTTGATAGCACTTATGGACGTAGTTTCCATGTCTCTACAAAACCCACCAAGTCTCAGCTCTTTACTCAAATATTCGAGTCTCTGGCAACACTCTTTGCAATTCATTTGCAAGTTAAACCAGAAAATTGCTTTATTTACCAATATATGAGCTAATATGAGTTTATTTTGTTAAATAAGTTGTTTCTTGTCCATTTAAAGCCCAAAAATGATGACCCAAGTGAACAAATGAAAATTTATTACATTGAATTGAGTTATTAATCAATAAAGAATTAAATTGGTGAAAGAATAATGACTTTAGGTATCACCAATCTCGAAAAATTTGAATAAGTTGATAAATTGTTGCTGTACATTGATCAATATTTTATTTTATGTTTCCCGCTTTTTTTGTGTTGCCTCGTGTCTTTTAGTTAGCAACACTCTTTTGAATTAGTCACCTATTGTATTTTGTTATGAACTTAAGCTTTTAACCATGACTCTAACGAAAAACTAATTATCAATTTGAAATTTTGGTTATCAACGTTGCATAATTTATTTATTTTCACTGGTGTTGAATTATTTCTTATACTAGACGAATATTTACAAGCTCAACAATGGTTGCCACCACTAAAAAAGAGTAAGTTAATATCTTATTTTCATTGTCATTGTAATTTTCACTAGTGATATTAATTCTTGGTTATCTCTCAATTTTCATTTAACTAGGATCGATCCATCGACTGTGAGGTGTCAAAAGTGCTTAATGAAAGGCCATTGGACTTATCAATGCACGAACGAGAGAAAATGTTTGCTAAGGTAATGTTGTTTGAGTTGAAATCTTTTTAGTACAATAATAATGAAAGTTACTTTTTTCAGGCCTTCAAGAACTGTTTTGATGAAACGTAAGCTCAAAAAAATCGAAGAGAAGAAGAAAGCAGCACTCTTGAAACCGTAAGTCCAAACTTATCTCCGATTTGCAAGAAAATTCTAATTTTGTCTCTTTTTTCGCAGGATCGAACCTGAAGTCGTCAAGTAAGTAGACCAGCCTGGTCTTTTAACATTAGAATTGAAAATGTTATAACTTTAGGCTTATAATATTCCTATTTTTGTTTTTCATCTAACCATATACTATTCATCTTTTAACTAACAGTGAACCAGAAATTGAGCACTCTCCCATAATTCGAGATGACTTGCACACAGAAACTAAGAAATCAAGCTCCGGTAATTCAAGCTCTTCTGAGGACTGAGGACTCTGAATCAGACTCTTCGTCATCGGACTCAACTATGTCAACTGCATCTTCTTCATCATCTTCATCATCTTCTTCATCCTCCTCTTCGTCCTCTCCTTCTTCATCTTCTTCATCATCGTCATCATCCTCTTCATCTTCACCATCCTCATCATCTTCGGCATCTGGATCAAGCTCATCATCTGAAACATCACGCGTATCTCGACGCCGATCAACTCACCGAGATAGACATAAAAAATATAGAGAAACAGTTAGAAGTTCACGATCATCTAAGCATTCGAGAACCTCTAAGCATTCAAGATCATCAAGGAATTCAAGGAACTCAAGATCGTCGAGACGTTCAAGATCATCCACCAGAAATTCAAGATCATCCAGAAATAAGATAAAACAAGAAAGGCGTTGAAAAATAGTACAAGTTAAAATTTATAACATCATAAGCCTCAGAGAATGGCCCGACAAATATTTCCTTTGATGCCTATTTGACTTCATTTTGATTACCAAATGGATCATCCAAAAGACTTGCCAATTCATAGTAAATCTTTTTTTCATTCGGATTTTAATCCATTCAATTCTTTACCCGCCCTGAATAGATGTGTAAATTCAGAAAATTTATCACTTGATTGATCTCATTCTGCTGCTCAAAATTCGAAAAATCTTATCATTTGAACCCAAACAATTAACAACTAATTTTCAACTTTTTGATGAATTGCACCAATGAACAACGACACTTTCATAAGCTTTGTATTTTATTAAAATATTCAGAATGTTATTTGATTCACCAACTGTTGAACAAAAAAAGATCAATTTCAAATTTTATTTAAAAAAATTTACTGAAATTCGAAATCAAAATCAACCAGAGACATCAAATATTCAATTCTAGTTATTTTTTCATTCTATTCTCTCGTTTGCTCAATATTATGACAGTGTATTAAGATTTTCTGCTAATTTTTTCAGCCTCCAATAAAGTATCAGGAATCTCTTTTCCTCGAGTTTCTGGAAGTAGTAGCACAAGAAGGGCACTACCTGTTGATATTACTCCAAAAGTTGCAAATGAAACTGTTATATGTGTATAGTGACTCTGTGAAAGAAAAATAAAATGAAATGAAATAGCCGTTAAAACACAATCATTACATGGCCTATCATGTATTAATTTTCATTCTATTGTTATGCTATGACACATCGACTTACCAATTCTTTGACAAATGGAGCCAAAACTGAACCTATTCGTGAAAAACCGGAGTTACAACCAACACCAACTTGTCGAACCAACGTTGGATAAACTTCTGCTGAGTAAATGTAAATGGTGTAATAAGAGATAGAAATGCAAAATTTAACTATCATTCCAAGGGTAATATTGATTGCAGTAGTTCCAAATGGTAAAAAGTAGAATGGAATGGCAATAAAACTACCGATTCCAGCAGCAAACATGATACAAAACTGTACCGAACGACGACCCGATTTCTTAAGAGCATATAAACTGATTCCAAATGAAGGGAACTCAAGTAAACCAGCAATAGCAAAATTGGTCAACAAATTACCACCGAGATCACCAATGTTTAGGGACAATCCATAGTAAACATAACCAGTTGTGAACCAAGTTAAACAAAGGATAATAGTGTTCTTCCGAAGATTGGGTGTTTTCCAGAGGTCGAAGAGATTGGCCTTTCGATCGGAGCAAGATTCATTTTCCTGTCATGAATATTAAATAAAAATTATAATCCTTTACTTGTAAAAAAATGAAATTTTACCTTTTCAAATCTATCTCTTAGTTCTTCCAATTTATCTTCTATTCCAGTTAATCGTCTTTTATTGAGTTCGGCAGCTCTTCTCAGTTCTTCTTGAGCTTTCTCACTGTTACCTTTAGCTAATTGCCATCGAGGAGACTCGGGAATACGACATAACCAGAGTATCCAAAGTATCTCAGGTAAAGTAAATGCTAATTGAGCGTGTCGCCAATTATCAAATAGCCAAACAATCCCTGGTAATATGAAGCAACCCAAAGCCCAACCAAATCGGCAAACAATGCCCATAGTAGCTCGATACTCGGGTCCAGTCGTTTCAATAACTTGATGATAAAATTAAAAACACAAATACATCGTGAGATCCAGATTACACTTTTGACTTGTGAATTTACTTGTACTGGGCTTACCTAACATGAAACCAGTTAAATATCTTCCATAAGCTCCGATGGCAAGGACAAACCTTGAAATCATGTATTGATAGATTGATATTGAAAAAGCACAAGAAAGTCCAGCAACTATCTCAGTGACCACTGCTGTCCATAAGACTGGAAGTCGACCATATTTGTCTGAAAAATGGCCACACAGCAATGCAGAGATAGTCATTCCACACATGTAGAGTGATTGAGTGATTGAAACAAGCCAAGCTCGATCACAAACCAAATCCCACTAACCATGAAAATGAAACAATAAGTAATGATCAATAAACGGTGTCAAAAAATTACCCGTTAAAATAAGCATATCGCTGAACAAACGAAATCAGAAATGATGTCACGGTGTAACTCCAAAATAGCAAAATCTCAAGGAACCAAGATTTACTTATTTTATCCAAATCAAACTAAATTTGATTCGATTGAGTTTGCTGTAAGTCATAATTAACATTTCTGTCGCTTGTCAGAGCAATTTAGCTTACCTCTGAAATTATCGTTTTGGTTAAAAAGGACTCGGCGTAAACCCATTTTGTACAAGGAATTGTTTTTTTAATATCAGCATAACAATGGTCAGTCATGTTCTGGTTACAATTATAAGTTAATAAGTTGATTGTGATTAAAGAGATTAATGGTTAATAAAACTTACTTTTTGTAAATCGGTTGCACACCAAAAGTCCACCTTAGGAGCCATCAAAGCCAAACCAAGATTATGAAAGGCTGAATAGACTGAGGTTGTAAGGTAAAAGAAGAAGATGTTGCTTTGCCATTTACCCCAATGTCCGACAACGTCGGTGATATGTTGAATCTCTTCAATCTTCATCTTTGATTGCAGCTTTAATTAGCACAATTTATAAATAAACTTTGAGCTGTTAAAAAATTACCAGACAATAACATAGGCAAAACAGTCCAAATGGGTTAAGAGGTATTCTGGTTTGATGAACAAAAACAATTGAAACGTTGAAAAGAGTATATTCAAAGCATAATCAGTCAAGTTTAAGGCTCAAAATAATAATTAATTGAACAGGTATGAAAATTAAACCAGTAAGTATAAAAAAAATAAATGACCAAAAACGGGTGGAAAAGGCAAAATAAAGTAACAGACAAGTTGTTTGCCACTATTATGCTAACATTAACCCAAGTTTCCCTGAAAAACAAGAAATCTGTTCACGAGTTGGTCTTCATCTTTCCTTTGATTCTTGATTGTTGCTGAATCTTGAACAACAACAAACTTGATTGGTTAACTTTTCTAAATACTATAATAATAAAATCTAGGCTAACTAACAACTATTAATAGTAACTTAAGATCCAATGTGAGGTTTGGACGAGAGGCGAAAAACGCAATTGTAGAAAGTCAATTGTAAATGATGAAAATGATATGACGGTGATCAAGAAGAAGAGACTAAAGTGATAGAATAACAGAAATAATAGATGAATGAGAATCTGTTAAATTGTCTTCAAGTCCTTGATTGATACAGTTAACTGTTTTTATTGAATTAAAGTTATACACAAGGTTTTAAAATTGGTTTGCTATAAGAATCTGTATGAACAAAGGATAAAAAATTTCATTTTATTGATCGCTTCCTCTTTAATTTAATATATACCACCAATAACTGATTGGTACTTGGGTAATCAACCTACACAGCTAACTTAGCCTTCATTGAGTATCAACAAATCTTAGAATTTGGATAACCATGATGATCAGGACGATTTTTGGGAATAATGAGCAGTTGGGAAAAGATCAAAGCTGGAAACATTTTCATTTAGTTCATTAAAAAAGTAAAAAACTGCTTTTATTAATTTGCAAAATTTCGTATTGATTGTTGGATTTTGTTAAACAATAAGCAATTTAATACATTTCCAATTGCTTTTGTTTCCATTCTAATAACCTCGAATTATTTCAAGAAAAATATTCGTGTCTATTTGTCTAGGACTTGAACTTAAAACTACATAGATGTACTGTAGATGCATTAAATGATGCTTTCATGTAAAACCATGAGTGAATTTCACCTCTTTTATATCTTTTACTATTGTTTTACAATGAAAATCGTGACATGTGAAGAGGCTGTAATTCAACAGATCGAATACATTTTCTTGTTTCAGACTGTTAATAAAACAACCCAGAGTTTAATACAAATAAGTACATTGGATCGTCTGTTGAAATGTGTTGTGCTGAAAAGAGCATGGTAAGCTCATTCTTCAAGATCAATGAGGGGACGTGCTTTGATTATTTGAATATCATCGACTGGTCTATCATTTTTATCCGTTTGCATTCGACCCATCTTCTTGATCACATTTATGCCTCTATGAATCCGACCGAAAATAGCATGTTTATTATCCAACCAAGGTGTTGCAGCCAGTGTGATAAAAAATTGAGAGCCATTGGTGTTGGGTCCAGAATTGGCCATTGAAAGTATACCTGCTCCAGTGTGCTTTAAATCCTCGTGGATCTCGTCGTCAAAAGTTTTACCATAAATTGATGATCCACCACGTCCAGTTCCAGTTGGATCACCTCCTTGAATCATAAAATCAGAGATAACACGATGAAATATCGTTCCATCATAATAACCACGGTTAGCTAATTCAGCAAAATTACGACATGTCTTAGGAGCGTGTAACCAATATAGCTCAACAATAAATCTACCCAAACTGTTCAATTAAATTGAAAAAATTAACAAACACGAGAACAAAAAAAATTAAAAAATCATAACTTACTTGGTTTCAAACTCCACAAATGGCGGCTGCCATGTTTCAGCAACTGTTCCCATACTTCTATTACAATCACAGTGTAATTGATTGCAATCTAATCAACTCAATCTGCATAAAATTAAATAAACATTCAAATCAATTATTGATTAGTGATTAGTAACTGAAACTATTCAAACAGAATCGATTGTTTATACTATCATAAGTATCTTTATGAGAGTGTGAATCTACAGTGTACTCGATATCGAATCTAACAAGAGTCCAGGTACAAATAGGAAAATAAGATCCAGGTCTTTTATAGGTAATATTTTACGCATTTATCCAATATCTTATATCTTATATCTTTGCTAATCTGAATAAGTTACACGGATTAAGTTAACCCGGGTTTATTTATAGATCTGAAAACCGCAACTGTTTTTCAGTTGATTAACGGGATCTCTATTTTGCTTTAGCTAGTCTTTAGTGTGATAAAAGTAATTTTTTACATCTTGATTATTTTTTGCATCTCTTTTTTGTATACAAAGTGGACCATCTTTGATTTTGTAAATCCTCTCACAGTATTTTGATTCAGTATTTGTTTAAATTTGTTTTTATTGCCTGTCATTGCGAACATTTTTGTTAATTTAATAATTTCGTGAACATTCCAGTTTCTTTGGTTCGTTATTGATTGGCATCATGATTGGTTATTTCAACGAGTGGCTTAAATGGCTCAGTGAATATGCTCATGAAAATCCTGGTCAATTCTTGTTTACAATTCTACTTATATTGTCACCCTTTTTTGCTCTTAGCGCCTACCTGTCGTATAAATTAGCAAAGCATCTCGAAAAGGAGGAAAAAAAGAAAGCCAAAAGGAGTAGAATGGTGGACAATATCAAAAATAACAGTGTACCTGGACCAAGAGCCAAAAAAGATTGAACTTTGACCATTGAATAATAACGATATGAGATTACAGTAACATTCCAAGACTTATTGGCACAAATTACTAATAATTGAAGTTGTATTGCATTTATAATTCGAATATAAATCTTGTTTATTTGAAATGCGTCTCATTGTTTTTTACCTGAAAATTGCATAGTTTATTGTCTATTTACCGGTTCCATTTTGCTCAATCAGATAAGAACTTACTGCTGCGTCTAGAAACCTTACTATGTGTCGATATGACAAGAAATACAACGTCATGATGTAAAATAAGGAAATCGTCTTAAATCTAGGTGAAGATCAGATAATAAAGTTAAACTTTGAAGCAATTTAGGATAAACATTATCTTATTGAAAAGAAAGAATTGAACTCGAAATCAGAAATAAGTTCATTATTCTTATACCGGCAATCAAGTTCATGTAACAACACTTTATCGATTGATTTTTTTCTTATTTTGTTTCAGCCAAAACTTTCTAGACCAGAAGATCAAATAAATATTCAAAGATAGACATTTTGTAGAGTAATCATAAATTTCATTTATTCAATTTTATATACCGTAAAATCTCTAGGAATATTTAGGAATTGCTTTAAATTATTTGGTACTCGTAGAGAGGAGAGCACAAAGACCACCGGAGAGAGTAACAGAGAACACGTAATTGATGGTTGGACTAAATGAGCTCAGTAAATAGAATGATGATACAATTACCAAAGCCAAGAATAATGCATTATTGTAAAAGATGGCAAAAGTTGTAGCCTCAAAGTCAGCCACTTCATTCTGTTTCCAAAGGACACGTTCATCTCTTTCTTTCTTGGTCATCTTTTTGTCATCCGAGATTAGTTTGTTTACTTCTCGAGTAACAGCTTCACCGCGTTTGCTGGCAATCTTAAATTTAAGAATATACTTGACATGTTTGTAGGAATAAGCAATCAGCCAGGTTGTTAATGCAGTAACAATGACAAAAACGAATGCTGATGAATAAATATTCATTTGGTGGATTCTCCAAAACAGCCCTATAATAGGAATATCAAATAAAGGTATAGAAAGATTAATAAACCGAAATATGATTAAGACTATGAGACAATTTAAACTAATTTAAAGATTAAATGTTATACTTACAGATTGATGTGGCCGATACAATAAGAGCATTACCGTAGAAAAGAGCAGAACTCTTTGTAGACACATTACGACTGAAATCGTGAAGAAGAAGCTCTTCTTCTCGTGAATAACCCTTCTTAGAAGCTGCTGACATTTTGGCTAATTGATTGATTTATCTAAATTAAAAAGTCAAAAAATAAAGAGCGATTTGAGTTATACCGTCAATTTGTTACGTGGCTAAGAACAGTAAAAAAGATTCCGGAAAACTTTGATGGTTTTGGTAGATGGCGTTCCCAAAGCCAGTCAGTTTGAAAAGCAAAAAATGAGCCATTTTTGAAGAGGGAATGTTACATTTATTGATTTTAACATTCATTTTACTGTTTCTAAATTTGATTAATGATTCGCTTTTCGCAAGCCAAATTGATTTTATTTTATTTAATTCGATAATAATGGCGGTGATATTTGTGTTCAAGTCGTAATACCCAGTAATTTACTGATGTACAAAGCATATTACACTGAATCTTGCTGTCGATAGGAACTATCACCAATTTTACAAAAGCTAAAGAATCTTTAAATTCATTAATTTCGGTAATCGGAATAATCAAAAGTGATCAATGAATGGTGAAGTCTGATAAATGATTAATTCGAAAATTCAATTTTGCCGGTCCTAGGATTTCATCTACAATTTTCCATCTCAAAATGAACTAGGCGGTGGTGGACAAATTGCTAATACGTGGGTTTCTTCAAGTTCAACTTGCACTTTCTTCAGATTTGGAAACTCGGTATACCATTGAGAAAGCAATTCCTTTGACGGAGGAGTTTTAAAGGTAAATTTACATTCAGATAAATTAGGACAGCTACGAAGAACTGTTTCATAGAAAGATTTTGGTCGTCCACAGCCTTCTATAGTTAAATTGCGAAGATTTTTAAAAGAGCCAAAATTAGTTAAGCTACGATATGATAGCTGAAGTCCAAGTGTTTCTAAGTTCGGACAATGATGCTCAATTTGGCTGATAATGATTCTGTCAGAGTCTAATGGTATTACAGTGTGTCTTGAATACACTAGAGTTTGCAATTTTTCACCATGGGTTGATAAAAAATCTCCAAAGTCGTGCAAAGCAATTGTTGTATTGATTAAATGGAGATGTTCTAGTGTTTTTGGTATGTATTTCAGATCATACCCGTCCAGATGAAGACCATGAACATGCAATATTTTTAATTGAGGACAGCGCATCAATATCCATTTGAATTCTGCCAAGTCATATTCTATAAGCGTCATAGCCCAATTCCTATAATACGTTTGGTCATTTGATCTCCTAGTGTATCTAGATTTCATGATAAATTTCACCACGAAGAATAACGAACCAGTTGGAAGATCAAGAAAACCTTGAGTATCATCATGAGTAAAATTGAATATCTCGTTGTGACTGTAAGATAGAGATGAGTGAAACAAATTAAGAAATATAATATATAATGGAACACAGTAGAATTATTGAATTTATGATTACTTACAGCTCATAGACTTTATGAACAGCATTAAATATGTCGCTTTTTTCAAATTTAATTGAGAATTTTTTCGTAAGATCAATCAATTCACTTGGATAGAGTAAGTTGACGGTACTCAAACAAATATAGTCAGTCTTCAAACCACTAGTGATTATCTGGGCAAATCGTTTACACACTGAAAGGATAATGAATAATATAATGATTTAACATGTTGTGGTGATTCGAAACAAAGATTGGATTATTCATGGTAAAAAATATTAAATAAAACTCAAACCTCTCCTCAGTCGTAATCTTTCTCGAATGTTGACAATATATGAGAAAATATGATGAAGACAATCATCATTGAGATCGAGTAATGAATATGTCATTTGTGACAATGACGAGTCTAATTGGTCAGCCAATGTTTCCATGGTCAAAGTTTTCACAAATTCAACAGAAATATAAAATTGAGACTAGAAAATCACGATTAGGAATTATTTAAATAGTTACAAAGAGACACAGAACAGTAAGAACATCTATTAACATCATCTGTGAGCAGCAAGGATGTAAACAAAATAACATATGATGCATTGCGTCACTTTCCTTTGATTCTGATTTTTATTAACAATAATTATTGATTAAATTATTTGTATTTCTTATAAAAAAAGATCATCCATGCATGTTTTTCAGTCCAACTGAAGTCAACAGAATATTCAAATAAAGTTATGAGCTTATAGTGAAAAAAGTCTTCACGATGAATAAAACGTTTAGAGCGTTTTTTAAATATTTTGTGGCTAAAATGAAGGTATCTGCTTGAAATATTTTCAAATGCGAAGTGATTTGCTATGCCAACTGACAATTTAAATTCTATTCACCAGTTAAATAAAATTTCTTAATAGTCAACATCTAGAAATTTACAGGGATATTACAGCGGTAGTAATGTAAGTTTTGTCTAAAAATAATTTGTAAGATGCAGACATCTGTGGAAGAGAAAAATAGCTTCAATTATAAAATGAAGTGAAAAGCTAGTAATTGATAGAAATCTGTTTTGGATGTTTTCGTAATAAGAAATTAGGTAAACAGGTAATTTGAATCAGGATGGACTTTTATTGAACATCCTAAGAATGTGGAAAGGGACAATTTTCTGAGGAGAAAAGTTCCTCAGTAAAGCTTAATCTCTTATTTTGTCAATGTTTTCTGTACCTTATCCAATTATTTTATCTTTCCATGCTCTTAGAAAAGGAACAATTATCTTATTATTTTGAAATTCAACGGACAATGTTACGTTGAATAAAAATGATTCAACAGTTACTGATATTGTTTATGATTCATTGAGTAATCCTCCGTGGTTTGATGATTCAGCTTTTCTTAAATTACGCGTTAACCGCAACATCTACCGGACAAATACATCAGTATTACGGAAACTCGAGTGATCCCTCAAACTGTCGTTGTGAGTTTTGTACTCCATTATTGTATTCAAAGGTAAATTCAGAACTCTTTTCAGAATATCCCTTATTCTGATTGTGGTAATTGAGTCATTGGCAGTTTTATTCCAAACGGAGATGATATCTTCTTGGGATCTTATGGAAATAACCGCACCACAAATCTCTTCACCAACCATAAACTGTTCCCCAAGAATAGCTAGAATTAGATTTTCCCAACAACGAGATGCCAAACCTTTTCTTAACCGTACAATCCATTTTCCTCCTTCTTTGTTAGCATCATCCTATTGTAAAATAAAAAAAGAATTGTTAAATTAGGATTATACAAGAGGTAAGAACGGAGACTTGATGTAGAAAAGATTTCTAGATGCTGCTTACCTCCCACAAAGGTTTTATACCATCTTTAAAAAGATGTAAATCTGAGTGACCAGATAACTCTGAAGGACGTAAAAGATAAGATTGTACGGACCAGAATTGTTCAACAGTAGAAAATGTTGCAATTATTCTTAAACTTTGATCATAGGTCAATGGGTTAGTCAGTTTACCAGGAGTCCGGCGTGAGTACCAGATGCAATAAGTGTATTGAAGACGATGATGTCCATCGATTGGTTCAATAGCTCTAGTCCTCTCGTGATGATTATCCTCTTGGTGATGATTATTGTCATTTTCTTGAGCCATATCAATGGAGTCTTAACCGGGTGAGTTAAACAAAAAAAAACTTGCGTTGGAAAGAACAAGACAAAGGTATAAACAGTTATGATAAATACCAATAATAATAAGAGTTAGATTGGGTTATAATCATGTATATATAAATTTGCAATAATCACAACTAGATGAAGAGTTAAATAAGCATAATAAATCAAGTGAAATTGTCTGGCAAGGCTTTGTATCAATCCGTTTTATAATTCTATGATGATGGTAGACTTTCCAATATCACAAGAGAATACAAAAATATACAAAATCTGTGATGAATGGTTTATATTTTACAAAATTCACTGGATTAAATAAATTGTATCATGTAAGTCTCGATTGATTGGACAGGTTAACTTAAGAGAAGGAAATTAAATAAAAAAATTAAGTAAAGATGACTGGAAAAAATTAATCAAAATAATTGAAACCAAAAGTGTTGTTGCCAGTGTTCGTCTTGCTGGTTTTGTGAAGCTCCCAACACAATAACAACGTCAACTGCTGTCTAGGTTTCTCTCTTTTCTTACTATTGGATGTTTAACTAGCATAAACCTTCCTGTGCTTTCTGTTTTCTTGTTGGATTTTTTTAAATGCTTTGACTGATTTTCCACCTGGATTTTTGATAATTTTATTCGGAGTAAGTATTCATATTATTTATAAAGTTAAAAGATTATATTTATTAATATGTATGTTTCTTATGCTACAGATTTCACTTTTGTGTGAAGTTTAAGGATACTCACCATATGATTACAACAACACGTTATTTTATGCATTGGTTTCTTTTGCACTTTATTTTATTAATTGTATTTTTGTGAGCTCTCGGTTCATTCAATGGAGTATCAGCTTGATGAATGTATTAAATAGATACAGGAAAATTGCTACGAATCACTTGCTGTTCAATTGGATCAACGATCTACCGCTAAATCTATTGGATTGATCATGTGCCTACAGTCAAAATTACCATCAGTCAAATGTTCATGCAATGTTCAGTTTAATAAGATGGCAAAGTTTGATTTGATTCAAAGAAATTACATATTTTCTTTTAAATGGGTGATAACCAAAAGGTTATGGATGTTGTCGGCCGTTACAGTATGATTATTCGTCTCAAAGTATACTTGTAATGTTGGTTTAACCATCATGAAACCATTTGATGAAAATACTCCGTCAATTCCTGATCCCATCTCGAAATCAAGCCAAACAAATAATGCCGGATATTCAGCAGAAAGTGTTATAATGAAATGATTTGAGAAATTATCGGAAACGTAATTCTGGTCCACCCTTTCCATGGCGTTGATTTTAATTACACTGACAACATTGATTTTAGTTTCTTTTAATTTAAACTCTTTTGGCTTAGCTAAGAAAAGAAAGTCTTCGCCTTGAATCAAGTCGGTTGAATTACTTGATGGTATAATATTGTATCGAAGCTGGACCAGACAATCGGTGTAATCGGAACATATTGTGCTATTACCAACCAACTGATTCAAGTTAAGGGAATAAATAATATCAGCAGCATAACTTGATAGAAACAATAGAAAAGAAAAACAAATTGAAACGAAACAATTGGCTAAAAAAATAGTTTTAAAATTATAGCTTAAACCCTCACCTGTCTACTTCAGCTATGCCAGTAATTACTGTGTTATGAGTAAATGAATCAAACTTGTAAACGTCAATAGTCACCGAAAATTTGAGTTTATGGGAAACATCATTATTAATGACAACTTCGATCGATTCACTATCCTTATCTTGCTTCTTATAGATTTGACCATGGACAGGATTGAAAACATCTTTCATGTAATATTGAAGCATTTTCCATTTTCCTCCAAATTCTAGACTTGACCATGAAGTGCCAACCCAAATATCATTTAACATCCAATACATTGCACCCCATGTCATTTTAGCTCCAGTGAACGGATCAACATTTCGATTTCTAAGATAAACTTCTGTTTCCAGTTTGACAGCCATTGCTTGAAGACATTGAGATAGATAAATTATTTTCCGTAAACCATTCGAATCAGTTTTCGCAGGTAATCTAAAATAATTGTTGATCATGGCATCCATTTCATTTGTACCATTTGGATGATGCTGTCGATGCTCCAAAGAATCTGATGGATAAGTAAGTTTCTCTGGTGGGATAACAGAAGCCAAAGATTCGTATGATGAATATGATTCAAATCCGTATTCAGAAACGAACCGAGCTTCAGGAAATTGACTTTGATCCCATGCATTGGCGCTATAAGTGTAAAAGTGAACATCACCAAATAAAACATCATTGGGATTAACAGCCAAACCACCTTCAGCTTCAGTTTCATCTCCATTTGATGGACTCGATGAGATAAATATTCGTTCGGCATCAAATTTTTTCACAGTTTCTTTTATCGTATCTTTGTTCAGCTTCAAATAGTCTTCAACATAACGAGTAAAGTTTGATTGCAATTCTGGCCACCAACCCGTTGCAATTGCTGTCTCATCTTCGTTATTTCCAGACCAAAGAGCAATACTTGGATGATGAGCCAATCTGGTTACTTGATATTGGACCTCACTTTCAACATTATCCAGAAACTCCTGATCAGTAGGATAAGTCATACATGCAAACATGAAATCTTGCCATATAAGGATACCAAGTTCATCTGCTAAATCGTAGAAATAATCAGTTTGATAAATTCCTCCTCCCCAAACACGAATCATGTTCATTGAAGAATAGGCAACAGTTTGTAAAAGTTTCTTTACATATTCTTTATCTCTAGACTCATTTTCTGGAAATACCGATGTAGGGATAACATTCGTTCCTTTGATAAACAGGGGAACTCCGTTTACTTCAAATCGAAATGAAAGACCAGGCATAGTAGCCACTTGATATTCTCCATTGGATAATTTAATTTGGCCAGCCGTTGGTTTCTCTTGAATCAGCTTGATAGATCGGAATCCAATTCTTTTGGTTTTAGATTGATTCATTGAATCGTTCAAATTTAGTAGGTTAACTGTTAAATTATAAAGTGTACGAGGTCTTTGAATGATTCGATCGTTAGAATAAGTCATCATCCCGTTTGGCCACCAAAAACCTACACGAGATCGGTCAACAGAAATACTTGGAAGAGCATAATTGGTGACAGATGAATTTAAAATTAGAGAACCTTTGTAAATAATAAATTTCGTCTCGAAAATATCATCATCAGTTGAAAGTGTGACTTGAACATCAAACTCCTTTCCAGTAACAGGTCTCTCTAAAGCAAGGACCGTATTGATTATCCAATCACCATTATCATTGGATTCATTTAGAGTAACCCAAAAATTGTCGAATGCACATGTTGATTCTACGATTTCAATTCCTATTGGTAGCCAGATTCCAGAGGAAGGAAAAGCTGGACCCCAATCCCAACTGAAAGACGCAGCCATTTTTCTGATGAAGTTGGCATGACACTCTCCATTGTAAACATCAGGCCAACACTCTGGTACAATTGAATAATTGAAATTGGCTTTGTAACTGTCAAATTGAGTTTTAGCATAGCTAACTGGAGATTGTATATCAACTTTGATAAAATTGGAACCAGGTTTTAGATATCTGCTTATCTCGAAATCATAACGAACAAACATATTCCTAGAAACTCCGATGAGGTTTTCATTGATGTAAATATTGGATATTGTATCGATACCCTCAACAATAAGATAAATTTCATTTTTAGATTTCAAATCTTCAGGTTCCACTGCAAAATAAAACAACTGCATATTAACATTTATTCTGGTTTCAAGCGAGTAAAGCTACTTACAGTTGAACAATTTACTCCAAGTCCAGTTTAACTTTGAGAAATGGCGATAATTGACATCATTTTTATCATACAATGGATCGTCAATTATTCCAGCTGAGAGTAAATCAGTGTACAAACCACCGGGGACAGAAACGTTGCTGATCACATCTTAAACAAAATGAAGAAAATTTTTGATTATCAGTTAGAATACAGTTCTTATCTGTGTAATTATAATTACTTACATTGATTTGAATGATCAGTTAGAGTCCAGTCATTAGAACTTAAAGAAATGTATTTACCAGCACATTGTTTAAGTAAGAGGAAGACGAAGAAATAAATTGAGTTGATCATCGTACTGTTTAAACACAAAAACAATTGTTCAATTTATACTCTAGTGATGTTTTGTCTTATGATTTTGAGTTAACCTGATTATAAGTAGCTCACTAACAATATTATCTCAAAGATAAGTTGTCACAATTGAGCATCGAGTGAATGTTGAATCAAAAGTTATATGAAAAACAACATTAATCGAAAGAATTTTGATTTGATAGGAAAATGGTTTATTATTTAATTATGCATCTATAGATTTTCTCCCTTAGTTGATCGACAATCGACTGATAAAGAACAAGAATAGATGTTGAAAAAATTATATACAATAGTCGCTGAATTTAATACATGATTTGGAATTTTAATATCGATAGCTTTTTTACTTTTCATTTAACTATCATCATCAGAATCATCAGAGTCTTCTTCTTTCTTTTTATTACTTGGTGTACTTTTGAAAATATTAGCAGGTTTGAATGATCCATTGGTTGGTGCTTTGCAGGCGAAGCATTTTGTACTTTTTTTGTAATGTTCAAGGAAACACTTTTCACAAAAATAATGTTCACATCTTGTGACGACTGGATCGGTGAATCCATTCATACAAATTAGACACTTGAAGGGTATTTCTTTTGTTTCAGTAATTTCATAATTGATGTTGTCTTCTCCGTATGTACCTTTTCTTGCTTCGGCCTCCAATTGCCAGCCAGCTTTGTAATCACTTCGATCGTGTAAAAATATACATGAATCACCAAATCCACAAAATCCAGTTTCTTTGTAATCTTTGCAGATATCAGGTTGGTAATCCCATCGGACAGTCGATCTAATGTTTGATGGAGCTTTCAATGGTCCTTTAGCCAGGAATTTGTTACCTTTAACAGCTTCTTTGTCGTTATCAATTTGTCTTTCACTGGTTGCACCCATATCTTTTGGACCCTCTCGAACAACACTCTTATCATTTTCATATGATACTGAAACCGCTGATTCGTCTTCCGAATTAGATTCATCTGAACTTTCACGTGGAACACGTTTGATGCAAGCCTTTTTTGTTGGCTTGTAAATTATGGTCTCTTCTTCTTCTGATGATGAAGAATCTGGTGTCTCTCTTTTCTTGAAATTTATCTTTTTTGGTTTCTTAAACATTTTAAACTATTTTGAAAACACAATTGTAAATGAAACGATAATAATCAACTGAATTTGTTTATCTCAAATAACTTGAAAAATGTCAACAAACAATCATATGGAAAAGGATCAGATCTTGGAGTCGATATGTATCTACTGATGCAAAGGTATTTCATGTGCTTTCTGGTTTTGGACATTTTTAAATAGTTTTGATTGATTTTTCACCTGGATTTTGTTTTTTTCGAGTAAGTAATCTTATTATTCATGAAGTTAAATGATTATCAATATTATTATGTATTGATTCATGTTTCTTTTTTATAGATTCTAATTTTGTGTGATGTTTAAGGATTCTCACCATATGATTACAACACGTTATTTTATGCATTGGTTTTTCTTGCACTTTATTTTATAAATTGTATTTTTGTGAGTTCTCAGTTAATGCAATGGAGTATCAGCTTGATGAATGTATTAAATGGATACAGGATAATGGCTACGAATCACTTGCTGTTCAATTGGATCAACGATCTATCGCTAAATCTATTGGCTTAATCATGTGCCTACAGTCAAAATTACCATCGGTCAAATTCAGTCTCATAGTTTCAGATTCGTGTTCTTTTGATCTTCTTGCTACTCAGCATTTGGGAGACGGAATGGTTGACGGTCTTATTAAATTTGGTGATACATGTTTGGCTCCAGTCTCTCGTGATATTGATGAACTTCCTATTTTTATGATTTTTGGTGATTTTGTGGATTCAAGTCAATGGCAATTTACTGTTGACTCTATTGAAGAGCTTAAAAAAACTACTAATCCTGATAATAATGATAAATGGCTGGTTTTATTTAGCACGAATCACGTTGAATTGGTTAAAAGGCTTACCAATAAATTATCTTGGTTAGAACCGGCTAAACTTATTAACTTTTCATTCAATTGGGAGTTCACCGAAAGCCATAAAGATTTTATTCACAAAGATGTCAATGCTATTTGTCCTGATTTTGGAGCTTTCAGGATTCCGAATGATTTTGATAAATATTCTAAAATTTTATTTATCGGATCACAACTGAACCTTTATCTGAGGCTAGTCCCTGGTTTGACACATATTGATCCAGAAAAAAGAATTGTTGAAACACGCCAGGGACAAAAGTTACTTTCTAAAAGAATTGGTTTAATCGAAAGATTGAAAAGAAAGAAGACACTCAATTTAGGATTCCTGATTACTAATGCATTTCCTTCGATTGATGAATACATGGAAAAGACTGAAAGAATAAAAAAGAAAAACCATAAAATAAACAGGATTCTACTGATAAATTCAACGGATGAATGTAAATTAGGAAATTTTGCCAATCTTGATGCCTTTGTTTTGATTAATGGATGCAAGTGTACGAAATTTATCGATAAATTAGATTTACATTTACCAATTTTAACTTATAAAGAATATGAAATTCTTTGTGGTTGTAAAACTCAATATGGTGGCGTTGAATGGAATCAAGAAAACTCAATTGATGATGAAGAGGATGAAACGACCGAATTGTCTACAAACGAACAAAATCAACTTATCGAGTCAGAAGTTCTGGTTAAAGATACTTGGTATGGATTAACAATCAATCCTGCTTACCAACCTCTATCTTTTGCGAAACATGGACAATCTGGAAAAGCTTCTGGATATTCAAATGAACCAATTTAGTCTTGTGAGAATCGTTTCTACTTTTTCTAGTTTGTATTTTTCTAAATTACCATTTAGATTTGTTAAATGTTTATTAACATCATCGTTGCAATTTTTTTCAAAGATCTCATAAAATTGACTTATGAATTTATAATTGTGATTTAATTTAGTCTCGCGTAAATCGAATTGAAAATTTAGATACAATTTATGGTTTCAGATATTACTGAATAAGTCTATTTTTATTCTATTCAAAATGTGTAAAAAAATAGTGACATATTAAATTATAAGAGAAGCATGAGATTATAACCATGAGAACAAAGAATTAGTTGAGGAGTTTATGATTCGAAACCAACTGAAACGGTTGATAGATATTAATTATCATGTTCCTTGAGTTTTAACCACTGCAATTGAATCTCGACGTATTTGACGATACAGAGCAATATACTTGGCTGCTACCTTAGTTCTTGGGATGATGAAGTCTTTGCAGAATTGTGTTTTACTAGCTAAAGAAGGTCGAAGTTGCTTGATTTTCAAAAGCCGTAAAAAGGTGAGAACAAATGTATAACAATTATTATCATCTTGTGTGTAATTATCTGCAGTCCAGATGGGCATCTGCACCAGTACTTTTAATGTTGAGTCCCAATAATCTTTCCATGACTGGGAAACAGGATCAATCACTGGGATGGCAAGGCAATCAATCCAAAGAAGATTTTGTGACCCAATATGAACTCCGTTTTTATCATATTCATAGACATCTCCTTTTGAATCAGTCAAGCCAATATGTAGATCAGCAGAGTTTTGGTAATTACTGTGAAAAAGATAAAAAAAATTCGGTAGCATCAGACACGATTTTTCATTTTAAAAAGTTAATGAAAACTAAAAACTGAAAATGATAGTAACACATAAGAAGCTAGTGAATTAAACGTAAAGTACATTAACCTTTCAAATTAGTTGATTTATGAGCAATGATAAAATGTGGGCGAGTCAAAGAATCATCAACTTCTTTATCATAACATGCAGAATGAACCACAAGAAGCTTGAGAATAACGAAAGATAGATATCTCAATACATGTAGTAACTAACAGTTAGATGATGAATTTTCAACTAATTTGAGTAATTTCGGATTAATACTTACTGAAGAAAGTCACCCTCGGTGGGACGAATTATAATTGAGGTAGTAATCCTTTTATGACTTGTCAATGGAAATGGAACTTGAAATGGTGGCAAAATCAATTGAGTATTTGGAGTTAACTGTGTTGAACAAAGAGGACATCGATCTGGTAGCTTGAAAGAAAAGATTTTACATCGAGTATCACAATGTTGGAAACACAAGATATTAGGATTTTGATTAGTAATCGATTGTTGATTTTGAATCTGTTGTAAATGAAACGAATTTTGGTGATAATGGTGATGATGATGGTTACCATCATTGTTTAAACTAATGGAAGTCATTCTTGTAAGATATAAGATGACGAAATTATTAGTTATACGATTCCTCTTCAAGGCACAGAATGAATATCAATGTAGGAACTGAAATCAACAGGAAACTTTCCTTGAATTGATGTTTTTGTAATTTCTTGGTTAAACAATGAAGATGATAATGAAGTGAGAAAAGGAGAAAAATGGTTGAGAAAGAAATATAGAGAGAGAAACTAATGAGAGAAAGGGAGAGAATAGGAGTAGGAGGGAAGGGAAGGAAATTGAGTAAAACTGTGCAAGAGAAAGGACGGGATAATGCTTCAAGGCATTTAATACACTTGATGCATATAATCTTCTTTTTGTTTCCAGGTCAATTTTTGCACATTGGTTGGTTAACAGTGTTTTGGGTCAACTTGATTCGAAAGCTGGGAAAAGATGTCCAAAAAAGGTGAGAAATTTTCCTTCTGATATTGGCTTTGAAAATGGTACGGCAAGTGAAATCATGACAGATACGGTACCAAATAGAAGAAGAACCGAAATACCTTTAAAAGAAGATAAACAGAAATGTAAAAAATACTTGAAAACAGGAACAAAAAATGATGAACAAATTAAAATAAATAGTCAAATATTAGTGATTTACGTTGTGGGTTTGGTAGCGTCTGAATGTATGGATAGCTATTCTAGTCAACTGCCATGTTTCTAGTCATTGTTGCAGATACAAGTAACAAAAAAAGTCAGGTGGGTTGAGGGTTTTCCTTTATCCTGATGGAGGACATCTTGGAGATGTTTATGGATCGTTGGTCACTATAAGAAAGGAAGAGAGTAAGCATAAAAATATTACCGTTAACTGTAGCTTAGGAAACAAAAGAGGTTTGAAAAGTATTCTTAAAAGTCAGTTAACTTACATGACAAGTGTTGGTCAATTAATGATGACCAAATAATTTTGCTGATTAAAATTATGGCTTCCGAATAATCTTGTTAATCGTGCGATTTAACTTCTCAAAAAACTCCAGCGGATAAATCTTATAATCCGATTACCAAAATCAAGTTTCTTTGAGAGTTAACAGCTGAAGAGGTGGATTGAGTAATTTCAATCTCTTGTAGCTGCATTTGTTGCATGTTGATGTAAAAATAGAGTTATCCAGTTATTTAAGTTATTAACGACTAATTTTATAATGCTTGGGTTAAACTTCAACCATGATCAGCTCAATACGTTAATCAAGAATAGTTTCTAGGTTGATCTAAAATTAGGGCTTATTATAACAAGGTAGGGTCAATGTCATTGAAGAGAAAGCAAGCAAAAAAAAGAGGGAAGAGAAAAGAGAAACAATAATGAGTTAACTAACATTAACAATTTGAATGTTTTAAATGTATAAATGGATGTAACCATGTTGAGTTTGGCTTTAAATTAACTCACCAAGTTGATTTGGTTTCACCATTAGCTCATCTTGAATGCCTAAAAGGCTGGAATGAAACAAAATGTTGCGCGATGTAATGTTCAACCAATCTAAATAAAGTAACGTACAAAAAAAGATATATTAAATTGAATATTGGATTGAAAGAAGGTTAAGAAAAATGTTTATCATTTTAATTTATAATTTTTTGGGCGTTGATAAATTACGGACGCAAGTTGGAAACTTTTACCTTCTAATTAAAACCATTAGTGACCTTAATTCAAATCTTTTAGTCCTAACAGATAAATGGATAATCCTTTACGGATAATATAAAGATAAACTTTTTTTCATCAGCCGCTTAAGCAAAGAATTGTGCATCGAAGTCAATCATCACAATGGAAAGTTAGTAATAAATAAAAATTAAATATGTTGCCGTCAATTTCATTTTTCTTATTAAGTATCAGATTCATTTCTTGATGAGGTAAAGTTGAATTACCCGCGATGAAACTAGTAGATGGTTCAAGTTGACATCAGTCAGCAGCATCTATCGGATTTACCATGTTATTATCAAATGAAAACAAACCCAAAATTGTCAAGTTCATAACGTCAATCTACTATTTATTGCTATTTTGTTTGTGTTTCTTTGGATATAACTATTTAATTGACTTGATTCAGTAGTTCGGGTTAACATTGTAATGGGAAATACAAATAGTGTGCGTTTACATTATGAAAATGCTGCAAGAACTGGTGTATTTACGTTGAAGGACGCCAAATTGAAAGAGTTTCCTGAAGATTTGGTTAAATTAGCTAAAAATACACGAAGTCTTGACTTATCAAATAATCGAATAAAAGAAATACCAGTATTTATGAGTCAATTTACATCGTTGAAACATCTAGTCCTAAATAATAATGCTATTACTGGATTACCAGATGAGATTGGCAATTTGGTCAAATTGGATACCCTGTCAGTAACAAAGAACAAGATAACCAGAATTCCAAATGATTTAAGTTTTCTAACCTCTTTACGTATCGTAAATTTAAACGAAAATGAACTCACTCAGTTCCCACTGGCTTTGGTGAAATTAAAAAATCTAGAGGTTTTAGATCTGTCTCGCAATAAGATAACTTCAATTCCTGATGGTGTCGATGGATTGCAAGCATTGGAGGTTAACCTTAATCAAAACCAGATAACTAAAATATCACCAGATATCGGACAATGTAAAAGGCTAAAGGTTTTACGCTTGGAAGAAAATTGTCTGAATATATCAGCTATAGTATACTCAGTGATTCTCAAATATCCCTTTTAGCCGTCGATGGTAATCTGTTTAAAATGAAAGAGCTTCAAAATTTGCCTGGTTATGAAGCTTATTTAGAACGATACACAGCGACTAAAAAGAAAATGATGTAAAACGGCGAAAATCAATTTTAAAGAGATTCATTCAAGAGATCCTCACAGATTTTAACCATTCACGAGCATTAAAACATTTTTGTGTTGTATAACTCATCAAATAAATATTCCATGTTTACTGATTTTAAATTGATGATAAACATTTCAATAATATCAAAAATGTAAATATACGAAAATGTCTGCGAAAAATATGTAACTACTTACCATTGAAAATTGAAAATATCGGGTTGATTTTAACGAAGTCATGAACATTGTTTACTTTGGGTTGTAGAGAGCGACATTACATAAATGGATAAGAGTCGATGGCACAAAAAACATAATTACATTTACATTTGATCCAGTGTTGTACAACACACCTGTAGACTAATTAACAGCATGAGAATATTAATTATCCAAAATTGAATAATATCAATGGGCAGTTTTAATTGGAATATTAAAATCAAATAATGATAATATTAAGCGGTAACTTTGAATCACATGAATTAAAAGATGCAGATGAAAAGCTTCCATCTGGTGAGGAAAGATTCTACCAAGTTGTCATTTCGCTTCTGTATTCATTTGATACTTTGCTGATTATATCATTTTGCAGTAAAAACCTTTCAACTTTAATATTTATCTAATCTTTAACGGTTTATTTTTTAATTTTAAATTAACCAGTGATTAATGTGAACATTAACTCATCAAATCAATTTAATCATTTAAAATTGTTGATTATCACTTGCTTTTTCCCGCCGTAACCAAATAAATACTCGTTACTTGTACTCGGATTTTGTGGATATCTCTGAGTATGATGAAGAGAGTGAGATGAACAGATCAAATCAGCCTGTGTGTTTCCATCAAATGAAAAATTATTATTGACTAATTATTTTATCGTGTAAATTATTATTCTTATTATTTATTACATCATACCTTCTTTAATTCATCAGTTTAACATGGATTTGATTGGATTTATGGATATATCTTCTTATGTTTCGAAGTGCATTGCTCTGTGTCCACAGATATTCTATTGAAAAAAAATCTTGAATCCTCTTTCTCTATTAATCTTTATCTCTCTCTCTCTCTCTTTCTATTTTTTCTCTTTCCCTCCCTCTCTTTCTCTATCTTTTTCTCTCTCTCTCCCTCTCTCTCTCTGTATTCATCTCTGACTCTTCCAAAGTGAGGGAAACCCACACACAGGAGAGAGGAGAGAGAGAAAATTCACTATTTTGTTAGGCAGGTTGTGCATTTAAATTTTGGTTGTTTTTCATCTCTCTCTGTCTGTTCATCTTTCTGTTGTCTGTCTGTCCTTTTCTTTTTCATCTTTCTCTCTCCCCCTTCTCCTTCTCTCTCTCTCTCTCCCTCTCTCTCTCTCTTACCTGACTTTTATCTTTATCATTATTATTAGCGTTATTGCCATTATTTATGTTTTTATTATTATTCTGAGCCTAAGTGTATATGATTTTATTTCTGTTGAGTGAAGTGTTTTACAAATAAATTTGTTTTTGGATAATATTCACCTTTCTCCCTCTTACAAACAAACCACATCTTCTCACCATCAGCTTCACCATCTCTCACTTTCTCTATGTGTCACTGTGCTCACTATTGATACATTTTGGTTTTTCAACTGGTTATCATTAAATTTAATAACCAAAGCTGGCTTCAGATACCCAGCAGCGGCGACAAAGTATCTTGGCCAATGTTATGGGGTGCTTTGGAGGTAATCAGGCTAAAAATGATGCTGATGAAGATAAAAGAAGGAAAGAGGCCAACAAACGGATAGAGAAACAAATTCAGAAGGATAAACAAGTTTACCGGGCCACCCATAGATTGTTATTATTAGGTTAGTGACAACCTTGCTTCATCTCCCACTCTCCCTATCTCCCTCTCTACCTAAACTCACTTATTTCCTAAAATCTCATCATTGTCTCCCACTTCTTAATCTAATTCTCTTGTGTCTCCTGTCAAATATGCTCACCTTGTGTCCAGATATATCCTTGTCATTCCCATCACTTGATCTAACCTTCTATGTAACCATTTTTCTAGTCTTGATTTTCATTTGTCAAATTGATTTAGCATTCTTCTTCTCTTCACACAATTTACCATTATTTCACCTCTTTTTCTTGCATTCATACCTTTATATCTCGTCTTTCCTCTTCTCTTCATTCTCCTTCTTTTACCCACCTTAATCAGTCAACATGACTTACTGTTGTTATCATTTGATTATCATTTTTTCCTCTCATTTCTCTTCTTCATTTTAGGTGCCGGTGAATCGGGTAAAAGCACAATTGTAAAACAGATGAGAATATTGCATGTCAATGGATTCAGCGAAGAGTAAGTCTCCTTCTCAATCATCTATATCTCCACATCTTTCTTCACTTTTTTTTTCTCTCACTTTATTTTCTTTTCCTTACTCTCACTCATTTTCGCTCGCTTTCTTTCTCTCTCTCTTTTACCAACTCACTCACAAACACATCATTTTTTTATAATGTGTAAAGTAACCATCATGAAGAGTTGTATCAATTGGCTTTAAAAATTTTCCACAAAAATTGTTTTTTCTTTTTGCTTCTTTCTATTCAATTCGCCCTATTGTCAATCACTTTATTTTACTATCATTATTATTACATATTTCGCTACTCTCTTCCTACCTCCCTCACTTACTCTTTTCGAGCCTTACCCGATCTTATTCAATGAATCAAGTTAGATCACGTATACACCTTAGGAACTACATTCAACGGGGGGTATCTTTAGCTCTCTTTCACTCATCCATTTTACTTTTTATTTCACCGTATTTTTGATTTCATACATAACTAATTATATTCTGTTTTGTTTTTTTTCCTTTCAAATTTTTATATTTCATTCTAGTATAGTTAAATAATCGCATAGCATTTGAACATCGTCATCGGCTCATGGATATATATTTCCTAGCTAAATGTTGGTGATACTTTTTATCAAGCGATCATTAAGCTAGATTATTTTACAGTCTCGCAAGTGATTAGCAGTTATATGCAATATCCATGTGTATAGCTGATTTAATTTTTGCTCTGTGGCAAAAATCAACTTGTTAGGAAAAATAAAAATGCAACTCTCATGGTTTCACTGCTATACACTTAAAGATTGAAACAAAAGCTAAACTTTCGCTTATAACATGTTCCTCGTTAATAACCAGGCCTATTGCAACTTCAACATCATTGTCACTAGTTTCATGTATTTCTCCCTCTCTCTCTGAATAGTGAATCAGGTTATTCAAATGTTAGTTCTAATGACCTTGTCTCTCTCTTTTCTCACTCAATTTTGTTTCAATAGTGCACAGCTGAAAGCTGTAAACGCGCTATTTCTCTCTCTCCCCCTTCTCTCTTCTTTCACTCCATTATTTCATCTTCATTCCATGATAAGTTATCCTTTTTAATGGAAGAAAATAAATTGTAAATAAGGAAGAAAGACTTGAAACGGGACCTTAACTTTGTTTTTGAACCAACTCTCAATGCTTTTATTTTACGAAACATACTAATTGTTGCTATTTTTTATTTTAAAACAGAGAAAAACGACAAAAAATTGAGGATATCAAGAAAAATATTCGCGATGCAATTTTAGTAAGTATCATGATTGGTTTCTCATTATGATGAAAATCATCTTTGCTGCCTCTAACACATTTAAATCACAACACATTGATTTGCATGATCCCTTGTCAAATAGGAAACCCCACATTATATCAATTAGGGCTATATCATGATTCCCATCACAATCAGACATTTTCATTCACCATTGCTCTCACAATCACCATTATTTTCAATTTCCTGCCATCTCTATTGTTATCATTCCCCTCTCACTTACTCGCATTATGTATTGACCAATAAAAAAAGTGTACCTTTTCGGTAATGCTTTTGTAGTTTTTGTTTCACCTAAACTCATTATTCATTCTCACCTTACCTATTTGCCTTCTATTTACTTCTTTCCTTAAACATTACTCGTAGTTGAACTTAAAAAGCTGCAACATTAGGTTATAATCTTGAATAAACATTTATCAACAATATGATTTGTCATTAGAGAATGCAATCTTCCCTCAAACTCATTGAAAGCTTTTCATCGATCCTGTGTTTCAATGTAAATCAATTTTGTTGTTCAACTATTTGTTCGTATTTCAATTTACATTCAACTAATTGTGATTTTATTTTATCTTTTTCAGACAATCACCGGTGCAATGAGTACATTAGTACCTTGTGTTCAACTTGAAAATCCTGAAAATCAATGGAGAGTCGATTATATCCAAGATTTCGCAAGTCAACCTGATTTCGATTATCCTCCTGTGAGTTTGTTCATCGTGAAATTCTGAATTTATATAATTTGCCTGTTCTCGATCCTGAATTTATCAAGGCTCTAATGCTAAACTCCAATGACTACATAATCATAATTACCACTAAGCCAGAATGTTTTTGCTGCCTCCCTCTTCCTTGCTAATTCAATTCTAATCTTAGTTGTCACCCATCATCTTCATGATCATCTTAATCATCATCATCATCATACCTTCTCCTCGATTAACATTTAAATTTTGCACTCAATCAACCCTGTTGTTATAGACTTTCATAACAACAATGTTGCAAAAAAACTGTAGAATGACCTTTTTCTCTCTAGTCAATTAAGTGGAGTTCAAGTGAAAAAATATTCAATTGTCAAAATTAGTTTAAGGGAGAACGAGATGTGAATTTGATTATGAGTATGATGAATTTGATGATTCTGCTGATTATGGTGATGAGTTTAAACTTGAACAAGAAATAGACATTTTCATTTCGCAGCTTCTTCAGTTAATCATCTAAGTAACAAATTTAAATTATAGCCTCAACGCTCTCCAAAACTACAATAAATGATAGTTATTAAGGTGCAAGTTAAAATGTAAAAATACAGCCAACAAAAAAGTAAAAAGGTGCAAATCGGAGAATTAGCAATGAAAATTGAAAGGAAAGTGCTCGAAGTCAGACTACAACGAGAAAAAAAACTGAGGAACTATTTCGTCGAAAATATTGAATTTTCTCGCCTTACCCTGCAATTTCAAGCCTACTTAACTGCAAGTTTGTCATAAGCGTAGGCGGCTGTGTTTTATTTTTAATTTTTATTCAGTGAAACATTTAACTTAAACTTTTCTGCTAATTGGTTCTTAGGTCATGCTGTTTTCTCGCCCCTTTTCATATCAATTTATTTTTATTCAGTCAGTTTTCTTGTAAGGTGATCTTGTGCTTACACCTCATATTCAATGTTGAAATCTTGATGTATATGTTTTCATGATTAACTTAGGATTTACAGATTTTTAGCTTCCCTCCTCATCATTCTGACTCTCGCCTCTCCAAACTCACACTCTCATTCTCTGGTTAATTCTAATATGCAACGATTTCATTGTTATTACTTTTCTGCCTCTCATTTTATTCTTTTTTTTATTCTCCTTTTGTTTTCCTTCATTTTGCGTTGTCATAGCCTTTTGGCCCGATTCCTCTTGATTACAAAATTGCTTTGCATTTACAATTTTCCCTCTTCAATATATGTTACTAAAGTCACAGTATGATAGCTTTATCATTACTTTTTTTGCCCACTATAAACTATCAATTTTGTTTTGTTTTTTGCTCCTTCAATTGATTGTTGAACAAGTTTCCCGCTTGCCTTACCACAAACTGTTTTAAAACTCTTCTTAATGCAAACTTTCATAGCAGATCAGCAAAATATTAAATAGCACATGATACAACATCGTTTACTTTTATACAACAAACTGTACCTAAAGAGCAAAGGCTAATAATGTACGATTGTTATCCAGACAGCTCATCCATTTTCATATTGACTTTTGCCTTTTTTCACTCAATCGTTCGCTCAATCTTTCAATAGCTCATTTGATACTTATATCTAATTGCTTTCTCTCTTTTCTCTCTCTCTCTTTTTCTGACAGGAATTTTATGAACACACCGAGATTCTTTGGAAAGATAGGGGAGTTCAACAAGCATATGAACGCTCTAATGAATACCAACTTATCGATTGTGCAAAATAGTACGTTATATTTGTGGAAATGACTTGAATATATTTAGCTACTTGTATTTACTGATTTATCAATTGGATTCATTTTTGATTTTCCAGTTTTTTAGACCGAGTTCACATTATAAAGCAACAAGATTATACACCAAATGAACAGGACATTTTAAGATGTCGTGTTTTGACATCAGGAATATTCGAGACCAAATTTCAAGTCGAAAAAGTTAATTTTCAGTAAGTTTTACCCCACCAAGTCTTACAATGAAAACCATTCATTTGTGTTACCAAAACTATATTGTTTTATCAACTTTTTTATTAATTTTTCATTCTTTTTATTCTTGTTTTGTTACAGTATGTTTGACGTCGGTGGTCAAAGAGACGAGAGGCGTAAATGGATTCAATGCTTCAATGATGTCACTGCCATTATTTTCGTGACAGCCTGCAGTAGTTATAATATGGTGCTTAGAGAAGACCCAAATCAAAATAGGTTGAAAGAATCTCTGGATTTGTTTAAAAGCATTTGGAATAATAGGTAAGAATTACCTAATTTTCTAACCTATTCCAAATCACACTCATTCGATGTTTGATGTCGTTACCTTCAAAAGAATCAATAATTCCTAGTTATTGATAATTAATGTTTACATGTTTGATTTGATAAAAGTATAATCTGAACAAAGTTTTTCATTATTGTATCCATTCAATATTAATTCTCGGTCTCTCTTTTTGTCTCACTCTCTTCTAGATGGTTAAGGACTATATCTGTCATCCTATTTTTGAATAAACAAGATCTACTAGCAGAGAAAGTTAAATTAGGAAAATCCAAGATTGAAGATTATTTCCCTGAATTCACCCGATATCAGGTTCCGCCTGATGGTAAGTATCATTTATTAATAATTTAAACTCTTTGTCGTCATCATGGTAATGTTTTTACTTTGATTTTTTCGAAATCAAAAACGAACTTATTTTCAAAATAAATCTAACTTCAATTTTTTTTCTCCTTTCTTTTTGAGTTTCAGTTGCAATTGAGCCAGGAGAGGATCCGGAAGTTGCAAGAGCCAAGTATTTTATAAGAGATGAGTTTCTGGTAAGTTCATGATTTTCATGTTAATAAATTGTAGTGTGAGGACCATTTCTTATAAAATTAAATGCTGAGCGATAATTGAATCTAATTATACATTCACAATTTTGTTACTTGTTACACCAATTATGCATACATTTACATATTAATTTATGGGTCGGAAAATGTCACCAAAATTAATTTATTTACTTGTCAGATTAACTTTTCCTAATTTAAACTGAAAGAAAACAAATTGAATCTTGCAGCTATAACTGCAATTTCAATTAATTTGCAGTTAATCACCTTTTATGATTAATAGTAATCATGGGACAAATTTTTTCGTTAATTGAGGAGAAATTTAACTAACTGAAATACATGCTTTTAATTTTGTATACTTAACCAATTATCGTTCACAATACTTTCAATGGTTTTGCTTATTCTGTAATCTAATTGTTTCTTTTTCAATCTTTCAATTCTAGCGTATAAGCACCGCAAGCGGAGATGGAAAACACTACTGCTACCCTCACTTCACATGTGCTGTTGATACTGAAAATATTCGCCGTGTATTTAATGATTGTCGTGACATTATTCAGAGAATGCATCTTCGCCAGTATGAGCTATTGTGATGTATTGCCATCATGTTAAAAACGAAAGACTAAAGAAATTTTGTACATATATTTTTCCTTCTGTCCGTCTATTCTCCTGCTCTCTATCTTTTCTTGCGTTCTTTTTACCTCCTTTTCCTCTCTGTCTCTCTTTCGCTCTATTCATAAATCTATCTCTATCTCTTTCTTTCAACCAAAACAACAAACCAAATCTACGTCATTTTTAGAGGAAGTGACCGTGCCCATGGATGTAGGAGACAAATTGTTTTAAGCGCTCTACCAAAATAACCAGGGGCTACAACAAAAAGCACAATCTCTCATCTTTATTACCACTCCAAAAGAAACATTACAAAATATCAATTTTTTCCCCAATTTTCAATCCAGTTATAGATTTCACAATTCTTTATCCTTTGTTTTAAGTCAAAACTACCTTTTGCAAACTAAAAAAAAGTTTTATGTTTCTTTTAGAATGGTATGTACAGCATTATCTCCATCCTTTCTTTCATTCTCTCTCTTCCTTTGTCACCTAATCTTTCATTCTTGAAACATCCTCTCAGCTCATCTGACAACATTAGTGAACCTCTTCATACGAAAATTAGTCTGAGAAAAAAAACAAACACGAGAAATAACACAGATTTTACCTACATTCATCATCAAAATGGAATGAAGAAACAGACGCTAAATGGAAATAAAATTTAACCGAATTGGTAGCCACAATGTGCAATGTCAATTGATTAATCTGTTTCTTTTTTATCACTCTCGCTCTCGACTCTTTTCCGGAATATTTTTTTGTTTCTGTTCTCCATAATTCGTCCTTTCAACAATGATGCATTTTTACCATGAATTACAAGCATTTCACTCTTGGACTTTACCATCATCGCCCATTTTAAAAGCAGAATCATTGAATTGTGATTCCATTCTCTGGATAATGATTTGTTCATATTGACAACTCTTTTTTTACCGTTGAAGCAAACTAAATTGTCAGAAGTCTTCAAATGTCAACGAGCAAGAAAATAAGCAATCCAAATATCAAAGCCAAGGAAAACTGTAGCATTAAATTGTATCCATCAAACATCACTTGTAAATCTTGAGTTATACTTGATTACCAACGAACAGAGAAAGAGGAGGAAAGAAATGGAGAAAGACAATTTCAACTAATTTCGGTTATTATTGAATTAACATGGCTGAATGAGAGCTTCCAATTGAGGAAGGAACCCTTGAATTTTAGTTTAAAAGAAAGGGAATCCTGGTTAATCATGGTAATCACTATCCCATGATATTACTTTCATTTTATGCTTCCTTAAAGTAATTAAGATGTGGCAACTTTATCAGCAAAAAGTATCTACATCATCAACTCGATTATTCAACAATTTGAAACCAAAAAATCACCATCAATGTGTCAATTTACACCTTCATTATGGAACATTGGTTTGTTTTCAGTGTGAAACCTGAAAATCGATGAAATCAGCCTGCAAAATGAGTTTGGCAAATTTGAAAGGAAAGAGGAAAGAAAGAATTTTTTTATACATATATTTGTGAGAATAAGAATGAGCAAGAAGCCGAGTATTTGTCAAATCTCACTGATTTTTCATTAATTAAATTATACAAATAGCTAAATAATATTGGCAACTTTAAACGCACCTTCAACCAACCGTTTGACCGACAATAACTCAACAGTGAAGCAAGACAAAAAACAATGAAACTTCGGAATATTTGGGCCATCGAACCATCGCCAGCAAATAGAGACATTTACATAATTGTGACTCAAAACGACATTAATACTAGATCAACACGAAAACATTACAATTATGTAAGCTTCTCGTCTTTTCTTTCTTTGTCACTCTTTCTCTTCTCGATCATTATCTTGTGGAATCCAGATGCAGATGGATATGAAACTGAAGAGTCCGTTCTTCGCCCATCAAACAGTTGTTAACCATCAATGGATTATGTATTGAACCCATTTTCTGTTTCTTCTTATTCAGCTTCCCATTTTGTTATTCATTGCAATATATTGTTTCTTCTTCTCTTCTTCGTCTTCTTTCCTCCTTGAAGCTCTGAATGGTCAACAACAGCCAATGGAATGTTAATTCTTTGTTCATTAGAGCCTGTGTCAACTCACAATTTATACTTTTAACCCGTAAATTAATTAAAAACTAATTGTGATTGTTATTCATCTCACTTTTTTCTTATCCACAAATAATCATTCATTTATTTTCAATCCTCTGCATAAATGAACTAACGATTTGGTTTTCACAATTTGTCTTTCTAGGTATCAAAATTCAATACTAATCAAAGCTCATTTCAATTTTAATGTCTCTCGTTGATTAACCCGGATAAAGACACAATTGAAGATCTTCTTAACCTTGTTTAAATTTTTAAAGTTTAATATCAAATTCAATGATTTTTAACCATCAAATAGTTTAATAAATATACAAATATAAATGTAAGTCTGGTAAACAAGAAAGGAAAGTGGTAAAACGAGTAACAAAAAATTGAGTTTAACAATCACTTGAAATTGGATCAAGATTGGATGGAGTATCGTTCATATTGGTGTTGACTGAATCACTTGTAAAATTTGAATCTGCTTCATTTATCGGCCCTTTGCCTTCAAGATTTTTCTGAATTTTGGCAACATTGGCATTACACCGGTTAACTGATCTAATCAAGAGTAGATTAAAAATTGCCTCACCAATTGTCGATGGAAGCAACTTTGACATTGTCAATTTTAAAACACGATGACCCATTTTGGCACCAACTGTTTCAAGCTCTACCGGTGATTCAACGCAATGCATTTCATGAAAATATTTAATGAAACCTGGAGTTGAAAGGATCGGTAAAATGGCTCTCATTGATTCAATAATTGAATCACACATAATTTTGCCCTTCTCTACACTTGGATCCCTATTGATCAACAATGGTTTATACTCTTGATCCCAAACAACTTGCATCATGGAACCAGTCCGATCCATATCATCATCATCACATATGTTATACTTGTCATCGACTCCCATCAAATAGCCAATAACTCTCCAAAAATGAAGCCAAGCTTTCATATTCCCTGGTTCATCTGGAAATCCAGTTTCTTTTGGATGTAAATAAGTGTTTCCAACAAAACCCCACAAAGTCAGAAACATATCAAACTGTGATATCGCAACCTTATCAACTCCTTCCTTTCTTCCTTCATTGACTCGCTTGGAAACTAATTTGTGAATCTTACGGACAGCTGCGACCGATTCATAGGCTGGACTTTTAGGATCCCAAACATCACCATCATACCAAGATTTAACGTGATTAAGTGTTGACAGATAACGTTTAAATAATGTTGAAATGGTTCGGGAATTGCCTGTTGTCAGTAAAGTTTCATAAATGGATGGGATTTGAACTAAGATGTAGACACCGCACAAGTGGCCGAAAAAGCACGAGAAGAAATACTTTTGTCCCAAATGTTTACCCAAATCAAACAACTTTTGGTCAAACCATTTGGGTTTAACATTTCCATCTGATCCATTATCGCCATGAATATAATATCCTTCTTGTTTTAGCTTTTTGTAAAGAGCCAACGATTCTTGATACAATTTTTCCTCATTTGATTTACATTTGGCACTTTCAACCGCTGGTTCGGCTGTTGATGAGCATCTTTTGATTTCCTCATTTACTTTTTCCTTGACTGATGGAGATAACTTATTGGTAAAATTGGACGATAAAATTGACTTTTCAGTTACCATTTTGATTACAATTGTGAAAATAAACTGAGATTAACAAGACACTTGTGATTAAATGATTAAATTGGATTCAATTGCTGGATATTTAAAGTCGGTTAAAAATAACAGGTCGACCTTAATGGTGAACTGAGCGTCGCTTAAAATGAATGATTCTTGGCTATAAATTTCCGGGTTTTTAGTCTTCTTGGCTTTCTCCTCCTATCTCTTCATTTAAATCATAAAAATACAACTTTACCATCACGAGTCCGCCTTTTCTGGTTTGACCCATCTTATGGGCTATTTTATGATTCAAGTTACTCAATATTACAGCACACGAATGAATGATTTTTCAACATTCATCAGTATTGGCAGCGCAAGGTTAACTCACTGGGAGGATCTTTTCAAACCCGCTTCTAAATCATCTAGAGTCAACTTTCCAACTGCCAATCAGTTTAAATGAGTAAACTATACATCATTTACCAATCACCATAATTACCATAATTTGAATCATCTTGATTTACTGATAAATAATAAACAACAATATTTTTATTGAAACTCAGTATCTTCACGACTTCAAACTCAGTACCTTGAATTTGCTCGTTCAACCATTTCTGTCGCCCATAATTATTCATAAATAAATTTTCTAGTCATTAATTTGATTAATATTCAAATCTAGCCGCAAAAAACAAGACATCTCAACAAATAACCAATAGCAAGGAAATAATCAACGTCAAAGTGATATTTACAGTCCACTTCTGTCCAGCTATGCCAAAAGGCAAATACGATTCATCAGAAACAATCATGTGAATATTCGAGCTTATTATAAAATTATCAACCAAGATTTCCACCAATTCAGACTACAATCTGTTGGCCAATAATACCAGTTTAAACCCTTTAGCATCATTAAATGTCTCCAATAATTTCTAATGAAGATCACATTGGTGGTTTCAGCCTTGAATTTACATTGAATTTGCACATCGATTGATTTAGCTTTGTCTTAGCCTTTTAATTTCAATTCTGCTAAGGAACATTGACCATCCATTTCAAATTAAATTTGATCATTCTAGCAGACACAAGTTTCAAATTTCCTCTTCACTTCTCTGTTATCCTTGTTGAGTAAAAAAACATCGCCGATAAACATAGCCTTGAAAACAGGCTCGTAATTATTACTGTTGACGAACCAGAATCTGTCACTCTCTTCATCATCACAGACAGGTAAACCGATAAAATTTTAAGAACCAAAGAGTGTTCAAAGTGATTGAGACAAGTTTACAATTTGACTGATTTTGAGATTCTATCAAATGCAAATTGTTCTTATGAATATTTAAGGAATGCAAATTGCTTGTTATCTGATTAAATTGATTTAAACAAATTATCTCACTCTATTTTTACAATGTTAAATTTCTTGAGTCAATAGTAATTAATTTTCTCATTAGATGGCTTCAGTTTCAATTGAAAAAGTAAAAGTAAAAAGCAAATAAAAAAGCAAAAACAAATTGTCCAAAAGTTGTAAATTAGGTAATAAAAGGCTAATAAAAATTATTCTAGTCTGTAATTATAGTATTTTGATCTTATCTTGAACACAAGCTTCATCCATCATGAGTCCAGTTGATAGGAATGGCGTTAAAATTGGTTTTGGATGTTTTGGGGTAAGTTTGATTTGTTTTTTGACACTTGAAGCTTTTTTGTTTTGTTTTATTTTCCATCTGAATAAATTGTGTTTTTAATTTCTGATGTAATTGAATAAACAGATTCCAGAGGAAAGTGTTTATCATTTAATACGAGAAGCAATTAATGTTGGATATCGTCATTTTGACTGTGCAGCTCTATATTTAAATGAAGATTTGATTGGTAAAGCGTTGGGAAAGTGTATCGATGAAGGTCTGGTTAGTCGAGATGATCTTTTTATCACAAGTAAACTTCCAATGAATGGCATGTCACCAAAATGGGTTAAATATTTCCTGGAAAAGTCAATTAAGAATCTTGATTGTGGTTATCTAGACCTCTATCTAATTCATGCTCCATTCGCTGTTAAGGTATTGTGAATTGGCCATGAGGAATTATTGAATTGATATAGCCTCTTGTTTTTCAGTACATAGCTGATGATCAATTTTATCCTGTCAATCCTGAAACGGGTAAACTTGATGCAGATCTAAACACTGATTATAAAATTACATGGAAGGTTTGTTTCAATTTTCATTACTAATATTTACTTTCTAATTTAGTTGCTTATCTTATTTCAACCATTAGATTCTTGAACAAGCATGTGATGAAGGTTTAACCCGAACCATTGGGGTATCCAATTTTAATGAAAATCAACTAATTGATTTACTATCCTCCTGCCGAATCAAACCCAGTGTCTTGCAAAATGAAACCCACTGTTATCTACAGCAAAAAGCGCTTCGTTTATTTTGTCATCAAAATGAAATCTCATACCAATCGTTTGCCCCACTCGGGTCACCTAAAACAGCTCAAGAGTCTGGTCATAATGTGTTGCTTAGTGATCCTATCGTCTATCAACTTGCTGAGAAATATCGAGTGACTTGTAGTCAAATCTTAATCCGTTGGCAACAGCAAATGAATATGACTCCTATTGTTGGCTCAGATAATGTGAAACAGGTTAGGGAAAACATAATGTTTGCTGATTTAACGTTATCACCTGAGGATTTATCAACCATCGATGGATTAAACAGAGATGAACGAATCTTCTATTTTGATCATATTCCAGGGTAAGTTTCAGAAAAGATCAACAGAATTATATTTTGTTTTCTAACAGCTCATTGAACTTGGTATCATTTTAGGACTCGTTCCCATCCTCATTATCCATTTTGAAAACAAAACAGTCTCAAGGCTGAGTTTCCCACTGTCAATTGAAATGGTGCTTTTGCTTTGAGAACCGAGACTTGGTGATTACAGAATGTAAATTTTAATCATTGTCTTGTTTTTTTAATCAATTTAAATTTTATTTGAATAAGATTAAATGGTTAAACACTTGAAGGCAATCAATTGAATAAAGGGAAAAATGACTAGAATCTATGTAATCATTTCATCCAATATGTTTAATTTGCCTGTGGGACTGGTGCTGGTTGTGCAGGGGCTTGAGGCTCTTGGGGTTGTTCATTTGCTGGCTTGGCAGGCTCAGTTTGTTGAATAGGTTGTTGAACGACATTGGATGCTTGTTGACCGACAGCACTCGATTCAACTTGAATTTGATGAATTTTCTCTTGTTGAACAGACTTTTGTTGACTTGTTGTTTCAGTTGTAGCTGATGTAGTATTGGTTGATGAAGAAGATGAAGATTGAACTTGTGGAGCCAAATCAACGACCATAGGTGAAGAGCCAAAGTTAATGGGTATAACTTTTTCTTTTGGCTTACCTTCCTCTATTGGAGCCACTTTGGGTACAGAGACGGTCAAAATACCATCAGGACTCAGAGAAGAGACAATTTTATCAGCCTCAATGCCCTTTGGAAGCATATAACGTCGTTGAAAATGTCTTGAAATGTAACCATGTTCATCAGGCCTTTCTTCATGCTTACCCTCAATAACAACACAATTGTTTTCAACTGCTTTGACGGTAATCTCATTGGGAGCAAATTGAGAGACATCCAGTGAAACAGCAAATTGGTTTGCTTGATTGGAGACTTCAGAGATGCCTCGAGCAGCGTTTGGTGATGATGTTTGACGAGACAGTTGACGACGAACCAAAGGTGCTCGTGGATAGAAAGGTGATGAAGTCAAGGGAAGCAAATCTTCATCAGTTAATCCAAGACCAAAGTGTTGATCGAATATTCGCGGAGGAAAGTCCCAGAGATCCCACCAGTCAGAGGTTGGTCGAAGCATCTGAGGAACCAAGCTACGAGAAAATGACATCTCTAAAGATTTGGATAAACCGAAAGCAAAAGAAACAAAAAAAGCAAATATTAATGGTTTGAAAAGGGTAACTAAACCTTACTTTTCAAGAAATCGTAATGTCTGAACTTACTTGTAACAGAAGGCAAAGATTGAGTTAAGCTTGGGAAAGATCAAGGCGATTGGTTTTAATCAAATGATGGAAAAGAGTTTTTTTGGCAAACTTGGTTCGGTTTAAATAGTCTGTTAATCTTGAAGGTAGATTCTTGTGTTTGGGTGTTTCAATTTTAATTTTTATACTCTTGGTGAGTTTTGTTATTGAGTTAAGCTGTGATTGAGAGTGTCACAGATACTTTATGTAAGTTGAGAGGTTGGGTTAGATGAATGTAATGGTGAATTGAAAAAGAGACAGAAAGTATATTCAAATGGATTAGATGTACAAAATGAGGATGACAAATAACAAGTGATTAAGATGATTTTTGTTAACCCAAACTAATTTTAGATCATTGAAAATTGCATTGAGAAAGTTCCAATAATGCTGATGAAGGTACATCTATTTTTACTTGTGATGATGTAAAAAAATACTTATGTATTTATTGCTAGACTGAAGTTACATTTTATCTTCTGATGAATCTTGAAATGAAATTTTTCAAAATCAAAAGATAGCCAGTGAAAGTGCATGATAACGGTTAAGCCAAATTCATGTGAATTAACGTGGTAAAGATAAGCTAGTTTTGATTTGAAAACAAGAATAAAGAATCATTTGTTTACTGTTTTTTCATCGTTAATCTTATTTCTAATCGCTTGTTCTTTCCAGGTTAACTGTGACAAAATTATTGGATCCAGTTTTGTTTATTCATGATAACTTTGATAGTCATTCCCAATTGAACCATTCAATGGTAAATCATTGTCAACCATTAATAAACTGATGCATTTTTTGGCAAAACTTTGAAAGAGGAAGACATTTACAAAAATTCATAACAATCATAATAATGATGATCGCAAGATATTTTACCAAAATTCAAGGTCTAGCCTGGTTAAGAAAACCTGGAAACTCAACTATTTCTCGCCTTATATTTATTATTAGTCACGGCAAGATTCTTGGTGCTATTGGTACACTTTTTATAACAGCAATTGTGGTCGATGTTTTACATTTATTTTAATCATGGCATAACGCTTCAGTAATTATTCTGATTCAGGACTCCTGGATATTACATTCTGTAATCAAATGATCGTGATACAAAACAAATTTTTTAAAAATCAAAGTGAATTATCATATCATCATTGACCAAATCAAAGATTTGACGTCACTTCGTTTATTTATAATTACCGAAAATACAATGTATTGTAATGTAGAGCTTGATGCGATCGTCTTGATCAGTCATATTAAAGTTGACAGGTGGAAGACATGAGAAAGTCATTTCAAGGAATTTTGATTTGTCTAATTTCTGGCAAATTATGAATTATTTGCTTTAAATCAAATTGATTAGGTCAGAAATTTACTGAATCTTCTAATGATTGCTATTAAATTTATAAACTTCACTTTACTCTCCCGAGATGGCGCCTTGAACAGGATTACTATTTACCAGTATCCAATGGAAACTTAGCAAGTCGCATGCCTTGAGCCTGTGAAAGTCTCTATTGGATTATGGAATATGAAAATTGTTTTCTTTTATTTTGAAATTTTTAATGTGATTAAGCTGATTTTTATCTCTGTGTTTATGTCAGCTGGTTAATTTACTGTTAATTTAATGTCACTTTTGTATTTTATTCCATTAACATTACGCGTACATCAATCTTAACTGTATTTTGGTTTGAATTTATTTGTTTATTTACGTCAATTGGTGATAACTTGTTACTTTTCAACTCTTTAGAGATTGAAATTTTTCTTCATCGGCACCATTATGTTCAATCCCGCCAACTCTTTGAATTACCAGAACCCTTCAGATATTTTCAAGAAACCTTTAACATTGGTACTCTATAAGCCTGAAAAATGGTATGTTATTGAAACTTTACTGGCTAATGCACAAAATTGTTTTGTTTATGAAAATTGATTCGATTATTTTTATTGCTTTAGGTCTGAGGAAACTCTTATCAACACAATTGATTGTATGATTCTAATGTTACAAAAAGGCTTGGTTAAATCGCTAGATGATTTATTTGAGCTCTATGCAGTGCTGTTCAATTTAATTGACATCGAAACTAATAGTTATCGAGGTTTGTTAACTTTATTAATTGATTTCTCTGTCTTCTTTTCATGGATAAATACTGATTGTCTTTTTACTTGTTAAATTGCAGGTGAATGCAAAGTTAGTGAGGATCTTAAACTTCATGTGGTTCATTGTGTCAAAGTTATTGTGGATTATCTTGAAGAAAACTTGGTTACTGAATTCTTAACCAAGCCCGCTCTTTTTCCAATTCTGGGACACTCAATTCATGTGTTATTGAACATAAGTTTAAAGGAAAAGTACAAAGAGCTACAGATGACTTCAATGGCTTGCTTAAACTGTTTAATTAAAAAGATTGACTGTCTTGAGCGCCCTAACAAAGTAGGACCTGCATCAGCTGATGTATTAGCTTCATTTTTGCCTGGTATTTCAATTGCTGTGATGAAAATAGTGCTAAGTGATGACAAGCTTCCACAAAAACTGTATATTGATTGCCTCAAAACTTTGGAAACAACAATTAAAGCTATCTTGTCAAAACCATTATCTCAAAACTCTACCTTTGATGGTAAACGTCCAGCTTTTGTGATCGAAAGGACGAAAGATTGGCTTCAAAGTAGTTGCTCTAAATTGGAAATAATTTTTGATAAAATTATCAAAGCACTATTGATTAAACAATCTACGTTAATAAAAATGCAGCTATTAAGATTCAGTCAGGAGATGGTTTACATTCTCGCTGAAATAGATGTGAAAGACGAAATCATTATAACTTTATTAGAAGTTTCATTCGTTATTGTTTCGGATAAGGATAAAGATTTACAAGAATCAGCTCAACTTTGGCTGCAAGACTTTGGAAATGAAATTCTGATTCACAAACCATCATTAAGAGATTCTCTATTTGAAAAATTTTATCAACTTTTAACAACAATCACTCGTGAATTACAGTGCATCAGTGAAGATCAAAAGATTTCCAAATTTAAAATGATCGAAGGTTACTTCATATGCTTAGGACCTCAAGGATTAACAACATTCCTTTCATCGCAATCGTGCCAAAATCGCCTTTTTACTAGTTTAATCGATTGTGCAGCTCTGGATGAAAAGCGTTCCACACATGGTTATAAATTAATAGAGATGCTCGACCTAGAAAAAATCGAATCAAAGAATCCCGCCTGCAACTACCCAGACAAAAGCTTTAAGCACTTCGAAGATTCAGAGATTCAAATTTGTTTTGAAAGGATTTGTGCCTTGCTCGGTCAATATTTAAACAGTTTCGGGTTGATTGATTACTTCAGCAATATTCTTGCAAATGGGTCCAAAGATCCAACCATAATATATGTTTGCAATTATACTCTACATGGTCTTCAGAATGTGGATATTTTAGAAAGTCTCTTCAATGAGTATATCAATCAGTTATCACAATTGACAGAATATTCAACTGCTCGTTCAACTTTAGCTGTGTCTCTTTTGTTGGAAGGTATCTCAGTTTTCGCCGAAAAGTATGGATCATCTAAACAATACGTTATCCTTTTAAATTCATTATATTTGATATTGGCTAACACCGGATCTGACAAGGTTATAATCAGTGATTCAGCCTTTACCACACTCCAACGATTGACTCGTACCTTTTCTTACAAATCAATCAAAGATCTGATTTCTGAGAATATTGATTACATTCTCAACTACTTTAATGTTAAACTGAAAAATTTTGAATTCAATCGACAAGTTTGTCCCGTTTTCCATGCCATACTCAATTTTACAGGATTGGGAATTCTACCTTACTTGGAATTCACTATTGACCATGTTCTCTCTAGTTTAGACATTTATTATAATCTAAAGTGTGATGTGCTTGTTGATCTACTCAAAATTTTAATAAGCTTCATTGGTAAGGATATTTCCCAGACTGATTATATGATGGATTCATCTTTAAATTACCAATCTAATGAAATAAATAGAAAAGAAAATTTCATTAAACAATTACAAGAATTTCTCGAGGCCCGAAAAATAGTCAACTCTCTTGAAATTGAAGATGATCAAGAAAGCTTACCGAATAATTCCAATGAGGCTAATGAAGACGACGATGATGATGGAAAGGATGAAAAGAAACAATTACCAGTTGAAATCAGCACAACTATAAAGGTTAGAAATTTACACACCAATAAATTGTTGAATAATCATTTACTTTTTTCATGTGATAAATCTAGATTCTTGAGAGATGCTGTCATCTTCTTTCCAACCCATCATTAGACATTCAAATTATTACAATGGAGATAATCATGAAAGGTTTACGTATATTGAAACCATGGGAAGGTAAGCATGAGCTGAATTAATAATCATTGTAGATAAACACAATCATAATTATTAAATGTGTAACCTTTATCATTTCTTTTTAGATGAAATTCTTCCCTTGGCACATAAACTGTGGACTCCTATTTTGAAACGGTTCAATACAGGAAATTTAGTTCTGTTAACAAAGTGTTATCATTGTTTAATTGTGATGAGCCAATGTTGTGGAGACTTTTTAAAATCACGGACTTTGGAACAAGTAATACCACGTTTAATATCATTCCTGCGGTCTCAGTATAGTAAAAGTTTTCTTAAAACTGACTCATCACCTTATAAGTACACACTTGAATATAAGCTTCAATGTGAAGTATTAAGAACCATTGGACTCCTATGTGATTATCTTAAAATTGAAAGCCTATCTCTATGGCCTGTTATCGAAGCTGTTATTCCCTATTTAAGTAACAAACAGCCAAGAAGTTTGCAACAGGAGGCTTTAAAATCATGCAAAATTCTGATATTCTTGGACCCATTTGCTTTTCACAGTTATTTGCAGAAAATGATGGAAACGAAAGAAGACAATGAGAGGAAAAACTATCAAACTAATTTAAAAATTTTATTCGATATCCGGTTATGATGAAAGCCATTTACATGGATCATTGTTTGAGGATCAAACTGAATGTAAAACCAGTTAATCAAAGAAAGCTTCCTTTAAAGTTCAAGATTGTACAGATAATGCAGGTTCGCGCGGCGGAGCTGAACTATCAGATGCAGCTCCCTTTCGATCTGAACTTTGAGCTTTGTCATCCTTATTATTTTGACCACGAGCTCCCCGAGGTGGACCCCGTCTTCCTCGACCCATTCTTCGAGCGCGGTAGCCGGTACCTCCTGCTGATTGTTGACGTCTTTGACGGCGAGGTCTTTGTTCACGATTTTCCTGAGCATTAACCGCATTGTCATTTCCACTAGCATCACCATCGGCACCACTTTGGCTTCCTTCGGTGTCGCTACGAGGCCTTCTAGGTCTTCTACTCCAAAATCTTCTTGCAAACCGTTTAGGACGTCTTCGAGGAGCGTCTTGTCCACCTTGTGGTCTTTCACTTCCACCAAAATTATTGTCATTGTTTTCGTGTCTTTCCTCGTTGTTATTTAAATTATCATTGTTGTTAACTGCGTTATTATTACTGATGTTATTATTTTGATTATTGGTACTACCCCTAGGACCTCTTGGTTGACCCCCACGAGGTCTTGGGTAATACCGTCGGTACATTGGTCGTCGGGCCCTCCTAGGTCTTTGTTCACCTTGTTCTTGGTCTTGTTTTTCAACTCCACTATCAGGGTTACTTTCAAAACCTTGCTCATCTTTATTTTTGAAATCGCGTCTCCCATTAGATCGAGTTCGTCTCCCACTATCTCTTCTCCCCCTCATGTAATAACCTCCGCGACGACGTCCAGCGTAATACCTTTTTTCAGCTGCATACTGGCTTCCTTTTACAGGGCCACCCCCGACTCCAGTAACATTTGCAGCTTCATTTCCCTTCTCTCCTTCGACGATGTCAAATTCAACTGTTTCACCATCCCCAACACTGCGAACTGCCTTATTAGGGTTATTCTTAGCAATAGCAGTCTGGTGAACAAAGACATCTTCGTTTTCTTTGTCATTCCGGGAAATGAACCCATATCCGTTTTTCACATTGAACCACTTTACGGTACCGGTAACACCTTTGACAAGAATCTTTTTAGGCGGTGGCGGCGGAGCACTAGCACCATTTGCCTGTTGTGACTCCTTTGGATCTGTCGATTCCTTCTTAACAGAAGTCTGGTCTGAAGTGTTGTTTCCGACAGCGGGTGCACCATTGTTGCTTGCAGGGCTGTTGTTAGTTTGCTTCTGCTCTACCTCAGTCATTTTGAAGCAACCTTAGATTTAGTACTTTTATGATGTTAAAGAGTGTGTCCAAGCTGAGAAAATATCACACATGAAAAAAGATGAGATAGGCAAGAGAGAAAGAGAGAGGTAGGAGAGAAGAAAGAGAGAGAGAGAGAAAGAGCAAAGAGCAATAAAGAAAAAAGAGAGGAAAAAAGAGAGAGAAAAACACAAAAAGTAAAATTAGTCAATTGATTAATATAAACAATAATATAAATATAAATGAATTTTAAATTGATTAAATTCACAAAATATAAGATCTTTACTTTTTATTTCCAAGGAAGATGGAATCCTGGTTCAATTTGGTGCTGGTTCTTGATGTTAAACTTGAGGACGGTCTTTATTCCTCTGAATCTTTCTTCTCCAAAGAGCAGGAAGTTTAGATTGGGTCCTAGAACAACGAAAGTGTCGCCATCTTGCCATCCAAGCCAAAATTCATGCATCTTGGGCTTAAAATCCTCTTCAGTTGACAGTAAAGATAAAGGTGCTCTTTAATTGTGAGAGATGGCAGCTCTCAAAAAACCAGTCTCTGGTTTCTTTAAATTACTATAATTAAGATTTACTACAAAATATTCATTCTTTAAATTTAATAATCAAACCAACAATCAAGATTACACCATCTCTTGCAATTAGAAACCGATAATTACCCTTCTAATAATAAAAAAACGTTAAACAAACATTCGCTTTCCATTCTGACTCATTTTTGTTTCCGATTTTAACCTAAATATTACTCCATTGATAGATGGCACTGATAGCACCTTTGCAAATATAAACATGGAAATGGCCGACAGAGGATAAAGAAAGATGTTTCTCTGTTCCTCTTATTCTGTGTTTATTTTTATCTTCTTTATCTTTTTCAGAACTTTATGAAAATCAAATCATTAAACTGCTCATTAACTAGCTAGGAGTTGCTTTATTTAAGGGCCAACAACCACTTTTTAATCACTAAGAAAATTCATAATTAAAATGCTATTATTAAAATTGGCCAACCGGAATAAGATTGCAATTAAATTGGGTTTCATCAACGACTTACCCTCCTTGATTCAAACCCAATCTCGAGTTATCTTTCATTAAGCTTTTTACTGCAACTCCAATGAGATTTACTTGATCTTTAGATGTACTTGTTAATTGCTTTAGTTGTGTTTCCATGTTTTTTATTGTGTTTTATATCTTTAAATGACAAAATCAATCATCAAAATGAAATTATTCAATAATTTAGATCGGCTAGATCGATAAATTGTCCATTGTCATTATAAAGCTTTAATGAGTTGCAGTGCTTTTTAGGTTAGTTTTGTGATGTTTTATCTTTGCCACAATCAGACTTTCAATTGTCAAGCTATTCAAGGAGATTAGCTTTGAAAATTAAAACCCCATGAAAAAACATGTGAGTCAAAGAAGTAAATAAAGGATTACAGTAGATTTAAAATTACCAATGAGTCAAAGATAATTGGAAAGATAAAAATGGCTTTTCTCGTCTATTCAACTTAAAATAAGTTTGAAATTTTTTCAACATAAACCATTTTAATTTTCAAGCAAACATGAAAGCTAAAACTCGATATATTTGACTTTAAATTTTTTGCTATTTTAAGAGAGAAAGTGAGAGTTGGTAGTTTATGCCAATTCACATGAACATGAGTGCAGTTGAGTACATTTTATAAGATAACTTTCACCTTCTTCAAGCAAAAAGATACCAAATATCCGATCAAAATACTCAATATCAAGTTTATATAAAGCGCAACTTCAAAGCTTTAGGTGAACCTAAATGGTATTTTTAGTTGTACCAATTAAGAATTAAAAGAATAGCAAAATGAACAATTTGCTAGAACGAAAGTAAATCAAAATTGGGTTATCTGTTGTTCAAGAAATAAACATTTACAAGTTGAAAGCTTCAGGTATCAATAGCATGGACTTTCATTAAAATTAATTTTGCTTGTAACGTCTTTCCATGTTTACATTTTGTCGTCTGGATTTGGCACTAATTAAAGAGTTTAACAATTGATTCCAGGGTTAAGCTGATGATTTAAAGTTTACTCACAATTGTCAGTTAAAATAAAGAGGAAATTAGTTAATAATTAATTGATAATTTTTTGGCAAAACCATCGTTCAACATCAAGTTTATTCAGATTTCACTTTTCATCATTTCTTAAACATTAAGATCTAAAATTGCCATTTCTTGAGTCCTAAGCGTCATCTGTTGGTTTGATTTTAATTCAAGTAGATGTTTGAGATGAAAGTGGGAAATGGGATTAGGATCTAATCATTGGCAACTCTTGTCAAGCAACTAATTAAACATTGTGAATGTTCAATCAACTCTTATCAATTTATCTTTACTGTTATCACATTTGGAATTTTCATCATCTAATTATCATGTGTTTCAATTCATGAATCATGAATAGTCACCAGCGATTAGTAATTTGAGTTTAACTAACTGATTACATTGTTTAAAAATGAAGTTTGCTAAATAATCGACTTACAATACAAAAAATGCTAGATGTGTTTTGCATATGGATAATACAATAAACCATCAGTTTCACTTGAGATTTACAGCATCAGATTAAGATTCAACTTTTCTCAAAAAAATCCATTTTCCATTTGCTCAAGATGATTTAATCTTTAAGATCAAAGAGACTCATGAGATATTGACAATTGCTGAGCTGATCATTTGAATGGCAAAATTTGTCAAAGTCAAATTGCACAACGCCAATAATCAATAACGATCATTATTGTAAAGTATTGATACAATCATCACATGGATCCGTATTACATTTAATTATCTTATGCATAAGAAACCAAGAATTGAAAATTGAAAGTAAAAACAACAAAAAAGTGCAACTCAACAACTCTGGCAATTGGAAGCTATTATGGACTATAAGACGATTTCATTAGCTTTTTTAAAGCAGCCTTTTCTTTAATTTCTTTAAACCAATCAATAAAAAAATAGTTAACTTAATTATTCTGAATGTCATGGAACGGTACAAAATTCGATAAAAAATTGAATCATTTTTGTTTTCTCTTTTCTCTGTTCCTTTACTTCATTTCGCTCTCACTGTCTGTTAATGAATATTTCTGAGTCTGCTTTTTCTTCTTCACAATTTTATCTTCACTTTTTGAGTCCACTCTTTCAGTCTCTCTGTTTCTTTTCCTTCTCCTCTTTCCTCCTCTCTTTCTGACTCCCTGTCGATGAGATCACTTTTATCCATAATATTTCTCATCCGAAAGGTTCACTTGGAGTTAAAAGCTTCCCAATTTTTTTTCCACTTTTCACTTTTACCTTTTCATGAGCTCTAACCGTTTCATTATCAAATATCGCTCACAATTGCCACAATTACCAATCTCCTTGTGGAAGACTAGTGATTTTGTTGTTTGTCTGTTAGTAATTAAACAAGAAATCGCTAGCTTCCGATGGAGAATTGGAAATAAATCATCAATCTAAACATCAACATTGCCAGCGTTTTATTTCTGTCTTGTCTTTTGTGCAATTTTACGCTCACTAATTTCCCCAATTTCATCTGTACAAAAATCAACACAATGTATTCCTGTGTCATAACAATTTAATTGACAGAAATATGTTTACCAGCCGTCAAGATTCCTGCAAAAGAACGATAAATTCACTTCCTAATTGAACATTGCTCAAGGTAAGTTGAACATTATTGCAAAATTGAACGTTTCCATTGCCGATTATTAATCGCATGAATTCAGTTGATGCTTCTTCAATCAGTAAACTTGATTGTCAAATTATGTATTTCATGACTTGTTCGTTAAACGAAAATAAATTGTTTTTTGAAAATTTTAATACTTTTGTTCAATTATTGCAGTAAAAATGGCTTATAAATTAATCTTACAATCGTTTTGATTTGGTTTGTTTCATTGCAAAATAAGTGGTCTCGGTCGCATTTCGGATCTCTTCTGATATGCATATTCTGAATGGATGTTGATAGTATCGATTAACGATGAATTAGAGTGCCTTTTCTCGAGTTTTTCGCTAACACTTGATGAAGATAAGTATGTTATTTCAATGTACCACAGCATTGTTTCTGGTCTAATCGACAATATATGGGCCATTTATCATGGTTTCCTTGGTGATTAATGTTTGTATTATATTTTGTTTTCACATCCCAACACAAACATTTAAGTTCATCATCACTAAGGTAATTGTTGTGGGAAAACATTGACTGTGGTAAAAGTGATCGATTGATGAAAATTTTTAAGCTTGGTTGTCAGGTAACAATGGTGACAATCACTCTATGAGTTACCTTTGACTAGCATGAATAAAAAAATAAATTCGATTGCATCTCATTCGGTCTTTGTTGTGTGTTTCTTTGTTGGTTGATCAGTTGTTTGAGGTATTTTGCCATAGTCTTAGTCACTTTTGAATAGATTAATCATTTTTCTGTAAAATCGAAAAGCAACAAAAGGAAAAGAAAAAGAAAAAAGAAATTGAATTAATAATTTGCTGCAGATAGGATCTATTGACAATCTTCTAGTTACACAAAAATTACAATTGCTGCATTGAATAAACACAAAATGTAGAAGATTATTTCAGGTGCAATTGTTTTCCTCTCGTTTGCATTAACTTTCAGTCAAGGAATAAATAGTTTTTGAATCTTTTTGAAAGATGTGTAGCTACGGATTCAGCTGCTTCAACCAGGTTATCGTTCTTGTGGTTTAACATGCAAAATAAGGTTCGAGCATCTGTTTCATGAGCCACCAACCATGATTCATTTGTTGTCTTGGCCACAAATTCGATAAAATTTTTACCCTCAGAAGGTAGTAAGTAAGTCCGAAGATCTGATTTAACGTCAATGATTAATTTAATAAAATCAGAGTCTGATTGTTTCCGATGATCAAACCTGCCATTGAAACCAGCATTTGATTTAAATGAAGCATTTGACTCGTTGAAGTAAGCAAATCGAAATGAATCAATTTGAAGATCGTTTTTAAGATTAGATGAAGAAGTAGAGACAGATGAAGCTGATAGAGAGTTGGATGAAGTGATAGTTGAATTTTCCAAACTGTTTATTCCAATCACAGCAATTTCACCCAGTTTAAAAGCTAATTCGGGTAATCTTTCGGACATGAAGACATCACATTTAGACAGGATTTGATCATACAAAGGATTCTCCGTGGAATCTAATAGAATTGCCACCGTTGCTCCGTTGATGGATCGATAGACATTCATAAGATATAAACTCGTAGATTCTTCCTCTTTCAGATTAACTTTTATATTAGTACGGATAAATCTTGTCTTCTTCAGTACTTTGGTACGAAATGGTTCACTCATCTCTTCAGAAGAAACCTCTGGAATGACTGAAGAAATCAGATAACGATAGATTATGCGAGTATTGTTTAAGTCTAATGAACTTGAAATTAGTTGCTCATTGAATAGGAAGAGTATATGTTTACAGGAAAGATCACAGGATAACACATGATTAACGAAACTTTGGGCAGCCATGTAAGTAGATTGATCAACTGAAAGATACTGGATTGCACCAAAAAGTTCAATTAAATTAATCATAGAGAACTTGAGAGAGGGCAAGAACCATCCAAAAAATCCAGAGCAAACTGATCTAAGGTGGCTAAGATTTTTTCCAGTCTTCTCCCAGATTGATTGAAGGGATCCATGGAACAGGAAAAATGATTCATAAATTTGTTTCATCACAGTTTGTACTAAATAATCGTTAAGCTCATCATCTTGATATTCGATGTAATGTTGATCTTTATGGGCGCTACTTTCTTTACTAGACTGAGCAGCAACCAAAGTTTTTGGAAGCGTTAGGCATAAGGATAACCAATAATCAGGTTCAATTTCTTTTAATGACATTCTTATTTTTGATCCATGGACAGAGTAGATTTCTGATAGAGAATGGAAAATTGTCGGATTAATTTAAAGGCATCGAGAAATCGGGGTTAAAAGTATCACAACTTACCTTCTTGAGAGCCAAAATTTTTTACAAAATTGATCATTGCTTCGCTTAGCCCCATTGAATTTGTTGCATCCTTAATAGCTTCTTCGTCACTTTCAAATGTTGGACTGTGGTTGACATCATCGATTGCGAGACTGTTTTCCCAATTGCTGAATTCTTCACCTTTCAAATCACCATTATAATAAAAAATCAACTTGTTCACCTCTTCACCTTCCTTTTGCATCCATGCTTGATTAAACAGAATAATCTTTTCTATTTTAGCAGGTAATTTAGTTCGCTGAGGGTTCATAGTAATAAAGACTTATTAAAACATGCATTAAATAATGAAAAAAAGGTAAATAATAAACAAACAAAAAATCTTCAAGACAAACTCATCATCATATGTAAACATATGTAGCCCTTGATGTTTACAAAAATCTTGTTCATCAAAATTTATCTTTAACTACTACAACACCATCTAATGGTACATTATTGATTCATTACCATGAAGCATTCTGAGATTGACAATTGGATATTTTTCTATAAAGTTCATTGTTCTATCGCGATAAGAAATTTAGTAAACGATAAAATTAACATCGCGAACTACATCAAAATAGGAGCACACATAGACAAGCTTAGTAGGTGTCAGTTTTATTCAAGGTTTATTTAAACTAAACCACCCTTAAAAACAACATTTCATATTCGCTACAAAAATGTCAGGCTTTAAAAACAAAAAGATTATACGTTGGTCAAAACTAGTTTTTAATCCTCTTCAAGAGGCCTGCTAATCTCTGCATTCTTTTACCCTGAAAGTTGCTTGGTTAGGTTTACTGACTGGAGAAACAAGATAGACCAAATTTTGAAATTCAAAACATTCAGTTTATTTGTGTTGCTATAGCATGTTTTGGATGAACAAATTTAAATAAGGTGAGACAATCGAATAGACTTGAAAATAAAGATGTTAATTCCGCGGTTTAATCGGTTGATCAAGTCCTTATGGCCCAAGATCGGAAATTCCAACATATATAGGGTACATGTTGACATATGAGAAACTGACGTTTAATTGTTTGCATTTTTGCAAGCAATGATTGCTTCCTCTCCAACAGCGGACATAACTGTAACAATCACTGTGTTGTCCTCCTTGTTAAATTCTTCTCTGATTTTAGTGCCAAGCTCACCATCTGGAATACGAAGATCGTCACGAGTATCTCCTTTTTCGTTCATCAATGAAGTGAATCCGTCATCACTGATATCAATGAGTTGGTAATCATTACGTGAGACGTTAGGAACGTCAATATTGTGGGTAGATGGGCAAAGATCTTCGTATTTCTTGCCAGTGAATATGTCAATACCGACGAGATGGACCTATAGTTGATCAAGAACAAAGGACACGTTAATGAAAAAGATAAATACACAAAAAAGTAGAAAGAAAAAATAGAATAAAATAGTAAAATTTAAAGTTTACCTTAGCATGTCCGTGTTTGCCAGTTTTGGAAGTACTCATTTCCATTACTTTGCAAGGTCTTTGTTTGATCATAACAAAACCATTTTTACGTAGAGAGGAGCATTGAACTGGATAAGTTGCCGAAGCTCCGGCAGAAGCACCAACGAATTCATGGTCATCACCTTCCATTTTCAACTTTATAAAACAAACAAATAAAAAAATAACAAAAAGAGAGAGCGAAGAGTACCAAAGACTGATTAAACTAGCGAAACTAAATTGGTGCTGATGGTTTTCTTCTCAAAACAGACGGAAACGGATGTCTTATACTTAGACAAAGAGAGAGTTGCCAAGAGAAACCAGAAAATGCTCAATAGACCGCTAAGTTCAAGCTGAACAAGAAAGATATGAATTTGAAAGCTGTGCATGTGTTTAAATAGGGATAGAATGTGCGCACGCGTGTAGGGAAATTATCCCTCTGACTAAGCTGCGCTGTGTGACTATGAGTCTCTTTTTCTCTCTTCTCTCTTTTCTGCTCTCTTTTTTTCTTACTTTCTAGTTTCTGTCTGTTATCTTTCTTTCTTTTATTTTCTTTCGCTCTCTCTGTCTGTTTTCAAATGTACCAACCTAAAATGGCCGATCAAGATATTCGGAATAATGGTTCTGATGGTGTAAATGACAATAAGAAAGATATCAAAGGACGAGGTCGTAGTCCAGCTGGTCGTGGTGCTGGCGGTGGAGGTGGACGTCGTCGATCACGATCTCCAATTGACCGTCATCGACAAGGAGGAGGAGGAGGTGAGAATAAAGCATCTCGCCGAGTGTATGTTGCAAATGTTCCCTTCGATGTAAAATGGAATGATTTAAAAGACTTGTTCAGGGAGAAAGTCGGCAATGTTGTCTACTGTCAACTCTTTGAAGATGAAAAAGGCCAATCAAGAGGCTGTGGACTTGTTGAATTTCAGGTAAATTAATTACTTTCATTCATATATCACTATCATAACATCATTCTATATATTTTTGGTATCATTATCTTTTCTCTCTTTTCCCATCACCAGGACACTGCATCTGCACAAAAAGCTATTGAGACTTTACATAGACACAATTTTCGTAATCGTGAGCTGGTTGTCAAAGAAGATTTAGATTGTGAACGGGATCGATTTGGTCGATTAATATTACCTGATGCCAAAAGAGGAGGAGGAGTAGGTGTAGGAAAGGAAAGAGAACGTGAAATACCTCGTGAAAGAGATATCTACGATAGGCCTCCTGTTGGATTCAATCAAGGAGGTATAAATTATAATACTTTTGGACTAAGTCCGCAGTTTCTCGAAAGCTTGGGGATCACTGGACCACTAAACAATAGAATTTTTGTAGCCAATCTCGACTTCAAAGTTGGTGAAAAGAAACTTGAAGAAATATTCAGACTTTCTGGGAAAGTTTTAAGAGTTCGTCTTTACACCGATTCATCAAATAATAGTAAAGGACATGGTACTGTCGAATTTGAACATCCTGTTGAGGCTGTGCAAGCTATTTCTATGTTTCATAATCAAAAACTTTACGGACGTCCGATGAGTATAAGAATGGATAAATATGAATGTGAAGAAATGCCAGAGGTTTTACCATCTAAATTACCTGCTGGTCTTGAAGGAGTTGGTAAAGGATTAGGAATCGGTGGTCAACCTCTCAACATTGGTAAAAGCTTACTGAATAACTACAATTTCGGTAATGTGGCACCTGTGCAACCACCTCCTCCTCAACAACCTATTCCTCCACCTAATACTGGTCTCAATGCATTTGGCGGTATGGCTGGCATGGCCGGCACCGGTAACATGTCTCAACTTCCTATGCCTCAACAAGGCTTAGCCCCTGGATTAGCAGCAACTCCATCAGTCCCATCAGCTCCTTCTTCATATGGAATGCCAGGAGTAGTTAACTCTGGTGACCGATCCATGGGTAACATGGGTCAACCTATGGTGGGACTTTCTGGTAACCCAGGTGGTCTGCCTAATTTGGCACCATCTTCTCAAAATGTTCTTGCCGCTGCCCAATCACTTTCAGGACCTTCATCTATACCAGGAGTGAATCCTGCTCTTGGTCTCGGTGCTGGACAACAAGCAGGCCCAGGAGTCGTTGGAGGCAACCCATCTAACTTAGGAGTATATGGTTCTTACGAAAGGGAATTCCGTGATGATAAATATCGAGTTCCTCAACCGATGACAGACACAATTGTGGTACGAAATCTCCCTCCTAACTTCAGTTGGCAAAATCTTAGGGACCGTTTCAATGAAATTGGTGAAGTCAGATATGCTGAGCTTAAAAATCGAGGAACTGCTATTGTTCGCTTCCATTCAGAAAGAGATGCCCAAAGAGCTGTTGATTTGATGAACGGTATTAGAGTTGATAATCGGCCCATCGAAGTTGCTCCTTATTACTAGTTCATCCAATTTTTTTGCTATTTCGATCTAAATTTCTTTGTCTTCTCTCTTCGATTCGTCACTCGCTTTGTTTCCTTGTCTCTTATTGTGACTATCTTCGACCATCGCAGCCTATGGTGATTTATTGAATCTTAAGCTTCATTATCGGATTTCTTCGTTCTCTCAAAGTCGATGTGCTTCATTTTTTCCTTTTCTTCAAAGAATTAGACAGATTTTTTTTTCTCAATACTCGAATGATCTCGATGAAAGCTGTCATCGAACTTTTACCAAGCGACATTTTATCCCTGCTTTCGTCTTTTTCTTTGATGTTCATCATCACTCTTCTGTGCAGATATTTCTGATTATTTGGCTTGACTCTCATTTGGCTACACTTTTTTTGACTTCTTTGCCCCCCAATGAAAAGTCTTTCGTTGATTACCAAAGGACAGAGTTTGAGTTTCATTTTACATTACACTCTTCATCTATTTATCTATACTTGTCGATTTTTCGAGTTCTTTCAATGATCATCTTTAAACCTCAATAATAGTAGAGAGAACAAAATTTGATTAATTTGTGTAGCGCAGTTATGATTACAATTGTAATGCAGATGGTGGTTATGACTCGATTCATAATCATTACTTTTCTTACTATTTATTGATGAAAATTGGACGTGGTAACCTATATCTAACTTTGCTATTCAACAAACTTGCGGATTTAGGATATTTTTTCTTGTCTTTCTGCCTCCATCTGGTCGTCATTTTTCATCTCTATTCAATCGAAATTCTAATCCTGTAATTCATCATCTACTATTTACAGCTACACTTATACCTCACCATTTCTCTCTTTCTTTCTCCTTGTTTTTTCCATCGTCACCTAATGAAAGAAAAACTAAATATCAAATTCGATACTGGAAATTAGGATTTTCTTTCCGAACATGTCTATCAATTTTCACTTTTCTCCAACATCTTATTCACAATCAATTGATATTCCAATAAACGCTTATATATCTAATTGTCCTCAATCATAAACATAACCAATTCTTCCAATTTCCGGCTCTAACTTAGGATTTGTTGTTATTGTTTTTTTGTGTTCCTTTATCTTTATTCAATTGGATTTTCATTTTAAAGGTATTGCTATGGTCAAAAATCAAATTACAATCATCAATTCAATAACTGTTGCTTTTTTATTCGCTCCTTTCACTGATTGGTTTGCTTTTGTTTCATTTGACTTCTCAATTTATTTTATTGATTCATTTAGTTTTTAAATGTTGATTAATCATGATAACAACATTTACAATTTTGCTTTATTTGACAATTTTGGCGTCTTGATTCCCATTTTTTTCAAATTTAATTTCATCTTTTATATACTTTTTTCTTTGTTATTTTATCCAGTATCCTCGTTTACCTGCTACTCGTTACATGCAACATGGTTACAATCATCATCATTTAGATCAATCAAAATTGTTTCCTCCATCAGGCCATTCAAAGGATTATCGCTGATCATGTTAATGCTTAATTGTCTTGATTATATACGTTTCATCTTTTGCTTTATCGTTTGTAATAATTGGCTGACTTCATATTTGGCTATTCCAGACTAATATTAGCCGTATATAGAAATAATTCATTCAAGTTGATGGTGGTTTGTTATCTTACTCTCATTCACAGTCTATCAATGTTAATTTCACCTCTTTCTCCTCTTCAGCATCACATTCTAATTGTTGATATGTAATTGATTAGAAATACTATTCTCTTACTTCTTTACCTTCTCATCTTGATCTTCTTCTCATTTTGTTTATGCCTATGTTTATCTCTATTGTCATTTTTTCTTTGCCATTCTCATTGGTACCTTTTTTGTAACTCAGTTTCGTTACAAATAACCAAATCAAACGTGTTTCATGTCAATTGTATTTATTAGCTTACATTTTGAAATGATATTTTTGCTCCAACTTCAATTTTTCGTCTGTATTTTATCATTTTTAAGACTAACTCATTCTCGAGTTTACCCGATTCTGCTTTTGTTTATCGCCAATCTTTTTTTTCTGTGTATTGAGAAGTAAAAAACTTGCACCTCTTCGATCCAGTTCAATATTGGACTTTCCAATTTGAAATCTTCTGCGATTGAGCCATTCCATCATCAATTATCTTTCATTATTATCTAACCATTTATTAATCTATTTCAGGGATACAAATATCGGTGACAACGTAATTATATTTAATCTAATACTCTGAATACCTTGAAAACCAAGACGCTCTGGGAAACTGGATTGAAGGATGTTCAAACAATTAACTGACTATTGTCAACAGCAAAAACAATTCAATTGCTTTTGTTTTTACACACTTTTACCCATCCATTTGAAGTTGACCTGTTCAAGGCAAGCCTGTTGACCAGTCTGCCCAATGTCAATTTCCAACTCTTTTTTACATTAGTTTAAGTCATCGTATAGTTACAAATAACATCGGTCGTTATTTTATTATTTTATCAAATGATTAACTTAATCATTTGCTTTACCAAAACAAACAGATCTCAAATATCTAAGTCATTATCTAAATTTAGACCAATTCAAATGCCATTTCCAATCAATTGAAGAGCTTCAGAATATTTTATATTTTCAGTAATTTTATGAAACAGTTCGCTATCGAATTAATTCTCATCACAAAATTAAGATAATTGATAATTTATTTTCCAGTCAATTGCTAGTCAAATCCAGTTGACAAGAAGACAAAGTCAAAGTATTAAGACTAAATTTTTAAATTTTATAAGGCAACTTAAACAAAAGCATTTCCTCAAACCATTTTTTACAAAACCAATTGTAAACTGAAGACAAGTTTTTTCTGTCTTTTTGTTATATTTTCAGTGAAATTATTTAGTCAATCAACCGTTAAACATTGCATTTTATATTTAATAATCAACTTGAATGTAAACCACTTTCATTTACTTTTAATCAACTGACTTGGTTACAAATTGAACAATCAATAAAAGACGGAAAACTGAAAAAGTGTGATTTAATTGATTTACAAAATTTTCGGGTTTTTAAAAACAATTGATTAGTTGATTGTTGACAATATTTAAAAGTTATACCAATGAAAAGCCATTAAAGGATCGATATAAACGTCATGGATAAAAATACAATGGAAAGAACCGTTCAAAGATTGGATCGATATATTTCAATGTCTTTTCCCTTCTCATCCATCTTCACTTTTCATCCTTTTACCTTCATCTTTACTGAATCAACTTCTCAAGACTCACCATTCCACTGTCTCTTTGTATCCTGGAGGAAGAGACACAAACAGCCTTTCCGATTCATCTCAGAATTGGCGAAGATGATGATGAAGAAGATAAATGTGAGTGAGAAAAGAGAAAAATTGTGTTCAATTTGAAGGAAGGAAAGAAGAAGAAAAATCTGCAGAAAAATGCAATTGAAGGCAAATTTGTTATCAAAATCAAGTGCAAAATTGTACTGTAAACATTGAAAAAAGAAGAAGAAGAAACGAAAGCAACAAAAAGCCAAAATTTATATATCATGTTAAGTTGATCAATTGGCCAATTTTTATCCTTCATTTAATCTCATTTGATTAACTTTCAATCATCAAAAACCGCAAAACCATTAAAATTGACAAAAGGAATAACAAAAGTGCAAAAGAAGAAACTTGGACAGCAAAAGTTTTGCAGCTTTCAACTGCGTTTCCAATCGCCTTAACCATTGTTAATCACTTTAATCGGTTCCTCTACAAACCACTAATCAACTCATTAACCCGACTTATTAAACCCTTTGAGATGCCAATGTTTGGTGACAAAAAGAAAGGTCCAGCAGAAAGTAAGTATCTCTACCTCACAACCTGATCGCCTCTTTTTCAATGTACACACATTTTCAATTGACTTTAACTTTCATTGTCTATCATTTGTCTCCTTTAATGCACTCTTTTTCATTCCTCATCATCTCTATCATCACGATCATCAATATTATCATTATCATCATGAAATAGAAACTCTTAATGATGAATTATCACACAAATGGTTTACGGAAAAAAACATTCAAATCTAAATATACAACTCTTTTTACCCACCTTAATGATACAGTTACTCCTACTATCATCATCATCACTGCTATTACAATGATTATTGTGATTATTATTATTGGTTTTTACCTTTAACTGTTAATCATTGATCGAACCTTTTTCCAGGTTAAAAGCAAAAGTAAAGCAAAAAAGTACCAACAATTTGGGTAAAGTTGAGATGAAGCAAGTTTGTCAATATTAAACCTTTTTCAAGCTTTTCATTTCAACAAATTTGTTTGCCTAGAAGAGCAATGAAACAATTAAAGGTTGATCAGCTAAGTGATTGAAGGTTCAATTTGAAAGTTAATGTCAGTCGAGATTTGATTATTTGATGATGCTTGTAATTGTGGCAATGAAGTTTGTAAAAAGACACAAATTATGTATTTCTGTGTTCATTTCAACTTCATGTTCCTTTTACATTTCCATTCATTTCTATGGAAACATTCATTTCTTTTTTGCTTTTTTCCCTTTCATTTTCTTCTTCTTCTTCCTTTACCTCTCTCTCTATCAACGTAAATACAAACATATACATAACTGTGGGTAAAAATGAGCCTCAATCTTACCCAATAACTCTGTCTATTTTAATCATGATACTCTGTCTAAATTTACTCAGTCTTTCTCGTCTTCTTCTTCCTCTTCTTCTTCATGTCAAAAACTCTTTTCTCAATCAAGATCGATTCCGATGTAAATAAATGAAGTAAAATAGCAAACAAAAAACCAACATCAACCCAAAAACCAACAACAAACAAACAACAGCAACAACCTTTTTTTTACTCCTTTATTGACCTCTTCTAATACTATCAGTTGAACAACTAGAAAAGGAACCAACAATGAAAAAAAATCATAAACGTAACAATTGTAACAACAGTAATGTCGATAGTAAAATGTCCAAAAATTGAGGTAAAAAGTGTTCATTTGAGCAACTTTTCATCAACCAAATGGTTTCCACTTTTCGTTCTTGCTTTTTATTGAAACTGTTTCATCCTTGTCTTTTTTTGGTTAAACTCATTTCAACTTTACTTGCAACAAAGTTTCCCCAATGTTATTCAATAGTGATTGAACCTTTCAAGACAATCAACAAGTTTAGTTGGTAAACAGGAAAAAGTAAAAGCCAAATTTACAAAGCAAACTCTTCATCTCAACTTAACCATTAAATGTAACACAAATGGTTTTACATTTGACAATCAAACTGTTCAACTTGAAAGCCTTTACTGGGCCACAAAGGGCAACCTTTAACTGGATTTTATATCCAAACTTTAAACAACCCAAATCAGTGTCAACGAGTTAAAAGCAATTTCTTGAACACTCACAAAAAGTCTCAAGAAAATGTCTCCATTTGTTTACTTTTTTGCTGCTCTATTTGTACTGTTTATTATTAATCTAATTGTTCGAGCTTTCCTACCGGACGACTTATTTACAGGTTAATTTGATTGTTCAATATTCACTTTCAATATTTTTATTTTCTTCTTCTTCTTCTCTTCACCAGATTTAGAGATTGAAGAATCAGATTTATATGTAAGATGTAAACCTGGACGGTTGAACAAATTATGCAAAGTAACTAGATTTAATAAGCAAGAGATTCGCAAATTGTACCAAGGATTTAAACAGGTAAGCTTGATTTTGTTACTCGTTATTGAATCTTTTTGTCGGTTGAAAAGGTTGAACATTGAAACAACCTTTTACATCCAATTTAACAGTTAAAGTTGACGAAATTGGCTTTTCTTGTTCTTTTGCCAAAATTTGAAATCTTTTTTTTCCTTCTTCTTCTCTTTTACATTATTAATGATAATAAATTGAACTTTTATCTCACTTTCAATGTAATAATGATATTATTTACTATCTTTTTTGCCTTCCATTCAATGATATAATGTGTAAGCAATAAATTGATTAACACTCGACTGAACAGGGAAGGGAATGCAAATGAAGGCAAAATGTTTAACAAATAGTATTAATAACAAGTTTTGGTTGTTAATAATGAGGTTCAGTTGAAGATAGTGAAATGAACAAGTAAACTTGCGACTATTTATCATTTGAATTACATGTTATTTCAATGAAAATATCATGTTCTAGTTTGAATAGGAACAAGAAACATTTTTAATATCAATGTTTCCTTTCCTTTAATCAGTTTGCCGTTTATTTTTGCTGCTGTTGCTGTTGTTGTTATTATTGTCAAACAAATGTATCCATAATAACAATAATAATGTGTAGACTGTTGAAGGTAAGAAGCAAGTAAAGATGAATGTTTTCAAGACGAATAAAAAGGAATAAAAATGAGAAGGAAAAAAAAGGTTAAAACAATAATATTCACAGACTAACAATATTAGTTTCCAATGAATAAATATTGTACTATTTTTGTGCACTTTCAGGAATGTCCTTCAGGTTTGGTAACTGAAGAAGCTTTCAAAGGAATATTTGCTCACTATTTCCCTCAAGGAGGTTAGTAATGTTAATCATCATCATCATTGTCTTTCTCATGATTGGCATCATCTTCATCATCATAATCATCATCTTCACCACCTTCAGCATCATTCAACTGAGCAAGTATGTAAGTCTAGCAACAAGACAAGGCATCCTTCAACCCAACAAGTCACTCTTTCCCCATCAAACAACGCACTACAATCAAGTCACTTTCCGTATTTCATTAGAATTTTCAAATACTCATTTCTTCGTTCAATTTTTTTATTCAGATTTCTTCTGTTCTGAAATCTTTCGCCCAATAATCTTTCCCTTTCTTAGTTCGAGTTTTTGTACATTTAGCCAATTTTATTCATTATTTTCATTGCCTTCAGCATCATTCAACTAAGCAAGTCTGTAAAGTTAGGCAACAAGACAAGGCATCTTTCAACCTAGCAAAGCCACTCTTTCCCCATCAAATAATGCATTACAATCGAGTCACTTTTCGTGATCTTTTTATTTCAATTATTACTTTATTTTGATAAAGATTGTTGAAAATTTATAAATGTTCAAATCTATTTTTTATTCAGATTTCTAGTTTTAAATTTTTCGATCGTCCTTCATCTGATTTCATTCATTCATCAGCTACTATAGATTTTTGTATATTTACTTCATCCCATTGGAATTGCAATTTTATCTCTTCATGTCTCAATTTTATCATAAATCACATTCATCTCAATCTTCCGTCTACTATTATTACTTTACCATTGGGAGTTTTTACTCCCTACTCAGTTGACATTGGATGTTGACTTTGAAATCAACTTCTTATGTAAGCTGAGCAAAAGTGTTCATAAAGATAATGATTATCAGCTTACAATCTTTCAATATTTAAATTTACATACAAAAATCATTCCAACAACTTGCACATTTACCTTTAACCTTTTAACCAAAGGAATCAAACTCAATTTCATTCAATATTTTTTCAAGTCAAACATTCATTGAGAAATAAGATTCAGTTAAGAAAAAAAATAAATCAGAAAAAATTCTCAAAACTTGAATAAAACTAACTGAACTAAAACATATCATACAAACGACGAAAAATCAAACTCAAGATGAATTCACGCCAACAAAAGTTAAAGCTAAACTTTATCATCATGATTATCTGATAGAACCAGAATTTCAAATTCAATCATTATCCAATCTAAAGATGAACTTCTCCCAAAAAAGTGATAATTCTGTTCATAATTAACTTTTTTTCTCCAACCCTTCCTTATCCATTGTCATGTAAATAGTTTAGATTAGATGAAACTGAAACAATCGGAAACCAATTCCACCATTCATTAGATTCATTCATTGGATTTTCATTCAATGATAATTTTTATTGCCTTTCCAAACCCATCTAAACTTATCAGCTATTCAAATGAAATCCTTTGGCAAACCAAATGCTTATTCAGTCTCTTGTTATCAAATTTTCCTCTTTTTTCCTCTTTTCCTTTTCCATTCATTAACATTTCTACTGAATCTGATAGAATGCAATTATCATTGGTGAACAAGTGATTCAAAGGTAATAATGATGATAGAAGGCAATAGTTTCATTATTTGTGAACCAAAAAAAGGTTTACTTGTTTTCAAATTCACGACCAGATTGTAATATACATTTTGATTGATCCATTTGATTAGGAAATTACAATAAAAGTTTACTTTTTTATTGCAACTCAAATTGTCTCACAGCATCAACTGAATCTTATTGGAACCCATTTTTATTACATTATCTTGTTCAGCGTTTTTTTCATTTCAGCATATTTTATCAAGCTTACCATTTGTTCAAACCTTACATCAATTATTTCTCATGAAAATGTTGACTTGAATTAACTTTATTTTGATAGATTATCTTTGCTGGTAATTCAATTACATTAATACGAAGCTTTTTTGCCAACGCAAAGCGTTTTTAATCCTTTGCTTCATAACCCAATTCGTCGTCTTCATCAGCATCATTCAATGATTTCATTTTTTTCAACTTTTCCTTTTCTTCATCAGTCATTCATCTCAAGATGAACAAGACAGAATTAATTAATCATTCTTGGTTAATCATTATTCAGTTCATTGATTATTGACTTGTAAAGCAATCCAAATAGTCTCAACATCACTTCAATTTCATGCTCAAATCTTTCTTCGTTTTTTTCATTCATTTCTTTCTATTCAATATTTTGACAAAATTAACATGACAATTCAAGAATCTAATGAACAAAATTTTCATTCTCAATGGAAAATTGAATAAAAAGAAAAAAAACTGAAAGAAAATGTAAATCTAATTGTGATCAAATCGTTAGAAGTCGATTATCTGGTCGTTATATCAATCGAGCTTTAAATCAATTACTGTAAATCGAATCAATTTGATATTTTTGATGAAATCAAGAAAAGTTGAACCAATTGAGACCTTCCATGAGACTGTTTTAAAATGATAAATTAGGGTAACATTAATCAATCCAATTGCAAGTTGTAAGCTTGGCTTTTCCGTGTAACAGTGAGTTTTAGTTTCATCTGTGAATACACTTAAATGTTAATGAATTCTCGAACACAGAAAGTCCAGTACAAACATTAAATTAGCTAATCAATCTTGATTAACTTCACTCTTGTTGTGCTGTATTACATGTGATTACATTCAATCTTATCAACAAATTAACTTCAACATTGGCCAAGCATCGAGCACAAGTTTCACTGCAACATTAATTTGTTGATCAAAAACTCAATCCCAGCATGTATTAGTTACATTTAATTGAGTTAATTTACATTCAAAATCAATTTGTTCTGCCTTATATTTGCTCATTTGCTTGTTTCTATTTCATCCAGCATTTTATTCATTCATTCATCATCATCATGAAAATTAAACTCACTAACGAATTACATTTAATTTCATAAACAGATTCATCCATTTATGCCCATTATGTGTTTAAAACCTTTCAAAGTGCAGCTAAAAACAAAGGAAAACTCAATTTTGAGGTAAATTTACAATTAACTTTTTTTCCAATCAATACTTCAAACTTCAACAAACGAAAAAATTAGTTATAACGAAACCGAAACGTAAAATCAAGTGAATAAATTGAACATTTTTTGTTTGAACTTCGAGATTGAATTTCCTCAATTAAATTGTTCAAAGAAGCAAATACTAAAAAGATAATATCTTTTGTTTTATTAAATTTTGTCTTTGAGATGAAAATGTTTAAATTGAAATATATGTTGCTAAAGTTATTAAAACAAGATATCTCTTTGAGCCATTTGGAGTGAAGCAAGTACTCTTCAACCTTCCCTGAACCTCTTGAGTAACCAAATTAATAATTTCATTTACCTTTAAGCTAAACAAACCTACCAATCGATTATTGTTCAACAACTATATCCCTGAATCCGTGTTACCCAAACTGGCGAAATGTTTGTATTAATAAACTCCAATCCCTGGACATTATTTTATCAACAACATTGAGTGCAATAATACTAGACAGGCTTATGTTAAAGAAACTTGTTTTTTATCAGGAATCCGTTTTTACCAATTAATAGATTAACCATTCTGGTTGTTTAACAAAGTAAAAAATAAAAGGCAAAAATATACTACAGACCAGAGATGCAGCATTTGAATGAAAAAAGTACCTTAAAGATGACCATTTCAGAGATAAATTTAGTTTGACCATTGCAGTATGTCTGGATCTAGCACAATTCAACAAAGCATATTGAATGAAGATGAAAAAATCAGCTTTTCAAGGAGAAATAATAGAAAAATAAATTAGAATATCAAAGCGAATAAGAGAAAGAAGTAAAATTAGTAAAATTGGTCGTAAAATTTCGAATACTCGAAATGTTCTAAATGTTCTAATGTGTCGAATATTGGATTTTTCCAAGATTGGGCTTTTGCCTACTCTTAATCTATTATCAAGTATTTGAAGACAATCTTGTATTGAAATAGCCGTTGGTAGATTTGAATTTTCGTCCAAAATATCTTTGAACCAATCAATTTTATTACTTGAATGGACAAATGTCACAAGAAACTTGATATCAAATTTTAATGATGAAAATGAAAAAAGAAGAATGAATTTTTCATCTTTCAATCTTTTTCTTTATATTTTTTATCATTCTTTTTCTGGTCATTTCCATGCTCCTTTTGCCTGAACTTTTTTGAATTCTTTGTGTGAAATGTAATTCTAGTACGAGATGAGTCGATATTCAAATCGAGCAAAAGCAAAAAACTTGCCTGAGAAAATCGGACAAAATTTTGACAATTCATTTCAACCGTTGAAATGAACACTAGTCACTCAATAATATTAAAATGTTACAGATCTGGGAAATGATAACTTTCAAAGTAAAAAAAAACTTTTCAAATTTTCTCACAAGAATCAAAGTTTCTGTTTAACCAAACAACAATTAGAATGAGATTAAAGATTGTTGTTTACCAATTGAGTGAAATTTCCCATGAAAAAACAATCTTGGCGTTTTATAGAACCAAATGATTGTTGAGAAAAAATTAAGGCAACAGCAATTCGTTACAAAAGTAGAAAAAAATTGATTCAAAGAAAAGGTAAAAATATTGATTGCTGATTAATTGAGATCGTATGAATGAACAAGTTAGATTAGGAATGGAAAGAAGAAGAAGAAAAGTGTAATATAAAGAAAATAATTTATAGATTCGCCGAGGTTGCATGGTGAACATGATGTGAGATGAGGAATCACGTCAAACAAGATGAGCCAAGAAAAGAAAAAAACTCTGAATCTGATATTATTCATTAATATTCATTTGTTAGTTTCTTCTTCTTCTTTCCCATTATCAAATTTTTATCGCAACATCAGAAAATTGTTATGGAAATGACAATGACTTGAGCATTTCATGGTAAAAGAGAGTTAAAAATAATAATAAATAATCACTCAAATGAAAGTGATAATAATTAAAGTTTAGTTACGCTTCAAGAGTTGATTGAACAACTTGACAGTGAAAGGAATCAAAAAGATTTTCACTTTATATTGATTGTGATTGCAACAATTTTAGCTTGAAAATAGATTCGCTTGTGAAAATTTGCCGAATCGTAATTACTTTGCTCATTGATTTGGCCTCGAATCTGGCCAATTCAATGAAACTCGGAGCAAGTTTTCGTTTTATAACGAAAACAGTTTATCACGCTTTCCTTGGTATACCTCAGTTGAACGAGCACCATGATTCAACCATCTACGCTTTGGATCGTTTCGAGCGCTACACAATCTTTTTTTGTACACTTCGAAATGGTTTCCGTCAGTATGAGGTTCAACCAAGGCAAGTTAGCCAGTCGACCTTTTTACGGCGCTTCTTTGGTGCTCGAAACTGGTCCATTAGGTTAGCCTCGGCATTGAACTTTTTCCGATTCTTGAGCTTGATCTTTATTGAAGAAGAGTCGACCCGCATCTACTTGGGCGACAATGTTTTCCGTTCAAAAGATCGCAATTCGATCTGTGTTCTCATTCTTTCCTCGATCGTGGTTTCCATATTTTCTCGTGAATGGTTTCTCCATATAGAGGCAGGTCACAAGTGTACCGTTTTGAACAACTACGATTGGATTCGTAATAAAGGATTATTTGACAATGTTTACCTTAAAATGACGGTTAACCAGGCAAAACAGTTTCGAATCACAGTCCACTTTTTGCTCAACCTTTACAATCGGATAATCGTCGTTTTGGTTCCCTTCATTACTATCCTTTACAACTTGCCCTTCCTCACCAATCCCTACACTTATCGCATACCCTTGTTGGCCTTTTACGGTTCTCTTTGGTCTTTGACGTTAACCTGGTCAGTCGTCTTTTTGGCCAATGAAATATTCACTATCAGTGGTTATCTCTTCTTCATCTGTGCTGTTCACTATCATCGTATCGAGTCAATCATAGAGCAATGTAACTCTAAACCCAACTCTATTTACAGTACGCGTCGAGAGTACTCATCTATGTTGCCTTCCCTGTTATCCGCTCAGTCATTAGCACCATTAAAAACAACTAAATCATCATCTAAATCTAATGAAAAAGATAGCAAGAAAAGTAAGATATCAAGATATTTGGATAAGTCGATTATTAGTTGGGCCTCATTATGCACCTCCACTTGGACTGATCGTATCAATCAATTTGAATTTGACTTTGATCGACTTCGTTACCTAGTTTTGTACTATTTCACGGTTGTAGCCTTTCTTGGTGATCTTTTCATATTCTTGGGTCTCGTTGTTGGTGCCCATTCAAAACTGGTCGCCAACATGATAGCAATGTTGGGTGGCCTCATACTTGTCCTGTGTGTCATAGCGTGCTATTTTACTGGAGGCTTTGTAACAAAGGTTGGTAAAGCGTTACCCCAGTCACTTTGATGGGCAGAGATGAGCTTCTTTAGGTTGTGAGTTGAACCTTGCTTGGACTTGTTTCCAGGCAAGGTTAATCCATTGATTGCAAAGGTGAAAACATTCGAGTTATATTTAAACCTTTAAAATAACTTTCACCTCTTATTGATTATTGATTTGAAATTTAGTTGCAACATGATAAATGAGAAACTGAAAAGTGTGATTATTATTGTTTGAGTAAAAGTGTAAAAAATCAATCATCAAAGTCCTCGTGAATAGAGCAATTTATTGTTGCCATCCATTAAATCCCAATTGTCCATCAATTGAGATCAAATTTCATTTTCCAATGACATTGAAAAGTAAAGTTAATGCATGAAATGGTTCCTTCTACAATGATAATTATACACAATTATACTGAGCTGGTATAAAAGTGTATTTTATTAATTTTAATCAATTAATGTGAAATTGTCACGAAAATTGGCAATTCCAAGTTTCGCATTTTAATTGATAGTTGAAATGTTGTAAAGCAAGAGTTAACTATTCACTCTTAATAACTATTCAACTGGTCAATCTAAACTATTCAATTTGATCAACTTTTTTGCTTAGCTTCAACTTTGCCATCGAAAGTTTCATTCAATTTGCTGTTCAACCAAATTACCAATATTGAACAGTTTAAAGGTGAGAAAAGTAATGATGAACAAATGAACAAAATTTTAATTTCACTTGTTGTCAAGATTCTTGAGATTATGGACAGATCACTTGGACCAAGAGTCGGAATCAAAGTTGGCGATTTAACAACGATAACTCAAATGTTTTTCATTTCTGTAAGTCGATCGACTGTCCAACCCAACTTTTCTTACCTTGACTTTTTTCCCTTAATAGTTTATACTCGAAGTTGGTTCAACTTTAATGCTTTTTGTCTGCAATGTTCGTGGACTCTTTGCTAGCAATTAGATTAATCAATATTGTTCAATGAAGAAGCCAAATTGTTGCAATTATCTTAAAGTTTGTGTTGATAAAGAAGCGAAATTGAAACAATCGATTTACAATAAAATACATATTTGCTCATTTATGGTCAATTGATTGACTCGAAAAGATAATCATTTGTTCACTTGATTTTACTATTTTGGGTTATTCAATCAAGTTAATGAACTGATTGTATTCAATGAACTGTGATAATCAATGGATAAAAGGAACAAATTCAATAACGATAATAATAATGATGATGAGGTTGAAAAAGGCATTAATGATTTCGTTGCATCTCATATATCAAAGGATTTCATTTGTATGCTGTCAAGTTTATCGCGAGGTTCAACATCAGAGAAGCTGCGTTGGATATTCAACTTGTACGATATTAATGGAGATGGTTTTATAACGAAACAAGAACTTTTGACAATAGTTCGAGCTGTGTACAGAATGCTGGGTGATTTTACCAAGCCTTTGGTTTACTCCAATACTGTTCAAGAGCATGTGGATAAAATATTTTTTGTAAGCCTCAACTTTCCAATAGAATGATTGATAATCATTTTCACCTCCCAATCACTGGGAGTAAATTTTTTTCTAAAACTTTTCTTTTTCTTTATTCAACAGCAAATGGATACAAACCATGATGGAGTCATTACTTTTGAAGAGTTTTCTCAATGGTGTTTAAGGGTAAGTGATGATCAATTTGCTCAACCAATGTGATTAATTATTTCTTATTCCCTTTCAACAGGACGATTGTACATCACAAAATTTAACGATGTTTGACACAATTTTCATGTAAATCTCTGGCAGTGGTCAACTTGATGAAAAATGATGGATGATCCAAGGTTCACGAGTAGTGCTTACCGGACATCGGCATTTACATTTTTTGTGATTTACAAATTTATCTTGCAAAATTGATTCTTTAGATTGTCCTTGCACTTTCACCCTCAAAGCTTAAAATGTGATCAACTTGTAAATGAGCAAAAGCTGGAAAAGTTTTCGATTTCCGTGAATGGTAATTATAAATAAGCGATGGAATGGCACGGAACAATATTGGTCAATGATTGGTTCAGAATGATTTAGAGTCCATTTATTAAACAATTTGTTTTCATTGTACAGAATTAACGATACTCAAGCGCCATCTTTTGACGTTGCATGTAATTATTATACTACTATTATTAACTTGTATGAAGCTACAAGCAAATTAAACGATTTATTTACTCAATACAAAACGCTCATATCTCCTGACAGACAAAAGTAATGATCATGAGACTAACATCAAACCATCTGCAAAAATTTGTTCTATCAGAAAATGACCTTCAAATGTCAATTAAAGGTCAAATCGCGGTTTGACCTTGAATGGCCTGAGCGTCCGAACTTATGGTTCTTCAATCTGCTTAAGCTCATGGTCCAAGTCTGAGTCTTTAAAAGTCAACTATAGAGGCGTTTCAAGCAGCTTTACTGTTGGGCCAGATAAAGAAGCAACTTCTCGACGTTTGAAGATCAACATAGGCTATGATGGCAACAATGATTTTTTTGTCATGATAGGCGAGGAGAAACAACTTGTTATGTGGAAAACTCTGTCAATAGTGTATATAGTAGTTTATCGATGTCTTGAGATGTTGAGATATTGTTTGCTTATTCCTGGTTATTGACATTTTGAATTTGGCCAGCTTGATCATCGAAATGCGTCCCAACCTAGCTGGAGAAATGCGTTTCCACTAATAGAACACCGAGAAGGGCTCTTGGTTCTTCGGAGTGAACTATTATATTTTTCCCTGTCACATAACGATGCAGAACTTATACGAAATTTGGTAACCAGTAACAGTTTTTTCGCTCCTGGTGGCGGAGTTTCTTCATTACTCATTAGTTCTTGATAGTTTGATCCATGCTAGTTTGAATGATACTTCAGTTTCAGTTGTCTTTGCCTTTTAATCATAGTTAGACCGTTGACCATGGGCCAAACTAGGGACTTGCAACAGAGTTTTCCACATAACAATTTGTTTCTCCTCGCCTATCATGACAAAAAAATCATTGTTGCCATCATAGCCTATGTTGATCTTCAAACTTCGATAAGTTGCTTCTTTATCTGGCTCAACAGTAAAGCTGCTTGAAACGCCTCTATAGTTGACTTGAACCATGAGCTTAAGCAGATTGAAGAACCATAAGTTCGGACGCTCAGGCCATTCAAGGTCAAACCGCGATTTGACCTTTAATTGACATTTGAAGGTCATTTTCTGATAGAACAAATTTTTGCAGATGGTTTGATGTTAGTCTCATGATCATTACTTTTGTCTGTCAGGAGATATGAGTGTTTTCATATCGTAGAGTTCGAGAATTGTTTTTGAGAAAAGTTTGTCCATCTTTCCAACGGTGTGAGTTTTCAACTTGTGACAAACATCAAACCATCTGAAAAAATTTGTCTATCAGAAAATAACCTTCAAATGTCAATGCGAGGTCAAATAGCGGTTTTACCTTGAATGTCCTGAGCGTCCGTACTTATGGTTCTTCAATCTGCTTTTCTGGTTCTTATGGCAAACAGGCATAAAATGTAAATCGCCCGATGCAAGATAATATATTAATTGCAAGATTCGCGTTGCGATTTTCACAAGGCAATTGTCATTCATCACAGTTTCATGACCCCTATGAATCAACTGTCTACATATTAGTTATGTGATAGTACTAGTGATTGGGATTAATGCTACAGTTGAGTAATTGATGCATTTATCGATGCACTTAATTATTAGATCGACCACTTAAAATGATATTAATTGAATCAATATTTGATTGAATGAACGAAAAAATAGCATCGTTCTAAAAATTATATTTCGATCACATCATGGAATTCAATCCGTACATAAATCTAAAATTTTATGAAATAGATTGCCTGTCTCATCAGCGAATCTAGTTTAAATCATGAAATTATTAAAACATTTTGTTAATCAAATATTTATTCAGAATTGTTGTCTTTAAAAGCGGAACAATTTGACAGATAAACTCAAAATACGAGTTTTCATGTAATCAATGCTTTTACATCAATGATTTATGTACATACATATTCAGACAATGAAATGAAAAACATGAACAGTACATTCAAACTATAGATTTTCAAGATTAATTTCCGTTGTTTCCAATGTAAAAATATCTTCTGAGTTCAACTCGACCTTTGCTCAACATTTTCATTCTTTAATTTTAGTCAACATTTACTTTCATTTTCAAATCTGTTTCCAGTATCAGTTGATGTCAATAGATGGCACTATATTAATCAGTAGAAACATAATTTGAAAATGAATTTCATGTTAAATATTAGTTGAACAATTGAACATTTTTCCTCTCAAGAAAATGAAAGTTGACGAATTTGATTGCAAGACGAAAATCGTCTTTTCATACATTAGTTTAGTATCGATCGGTGTGTACAAAATTTTTGTAAAATTTGGCTCTTTCAATCACATAAAGCGTCAACAAAGTTGACTATAAAATAAACATTTTGAATTTGAATCAATTTGTTTGTGAATAAAATTTATCTTCAGTAAAATATTCAGCTTCAAGTTTGCAGCACCAAATTTTGCCTTTGCCAACCCCATCAAGATGGTGATAATGACGGTGAAACTGGTGATGAAAGTTGTTGACTTTTGGGTAAATCATTTTGCTCATCAGCATCATTGTTGCTTGAATTTATGGCAACCATTAAAAGTAAAGCCTTTCCATGAGTTTCTTCAGTCTGTTGAATGGATAAACAAATATCATGAATATAATGAAGTTTACAAATTGAGGCTAAAATAATCATCATAAAGTGTACTTACTTTGAGTAAAAATTTAAGAAAAGGTAAAGCATCTTTGGGTTTCTCATCTTTATACAGTAACAAAGCCATATTGAACAATGCTTCAGTGAAGTTTGGTTTCAACTGAATATGAAAACATTAAGAAGTGGAAAAAATAAAAGTTTAATGAGCTTAATCAATTCCAAATCATGGCTAAACATGATTAACAAGTAAGCTATAAAACATCTTAAGACTTACGTCAATGGCTTTGGCAAAGTAACGTCTAGCAGTCAACATATGGCCTGACCTAATGGCAAGCATTCCCAGGTCAAAGTAAACAGTCTCATCAGCCTTTCCCATCGAGACGAGAGTTTCAAGTCTTTCCATTGCGATGGTTAAATAGTCTCCAATCAATTCATTATCCTTGATTATTCGAGCCGATGTTAATAGAGTTTCCTGATGAATGAAACATAAAGGTAAATCATCAACATGTTGAAATATTTAACCAATATAATGAGACACTTGAATAGATGCCAACAGTAATAACTTGTTGAATGGCAAAAATGAAAATGGAAGCAAACAAGAGAAAGAAAAGTTTTACTCACTTCATGATATGGATCAATGGATAAAGCTTGATCAAATAGATTGAGAGCATTCTCAATGTTGCCATTATTATTGAAAAGTATGGCCATCTAAAGGTGATGAGTAAAAAGGTAGAAAAAGGTAGAAAAGAAGAAATGATTAAAAATTGAATGCAATTGGAAAATGGTTCAAGTGAAATTGAATGGATGAAATTATATGGAAAGAAAAGAGGGAGGAAAAAGAAGAAGAAACAAAAGTGCATCTCTTTCATCACTAAATTACATTTCAATGGGAATAATTTTCAGGTTCCATTGATTCAGATTGAACTAATATTTGGTTGGAAGGAGAAGAAAAAAGAGTAAAAGTTTTTCTTTTCCTTCTTTCCTCATCTAAACGTAAATATCGTTTGGGAATCAAAATGGGTAAACATTATGCTTAAAGGTTTATCATTGAACAGTGATAGCATTCAATTTGATTGCCTCAAGCTTTTAGATGAGCAAGTTTTTAGAGCCAGAAATGAGTTAATATAACAGAGGAAAGGGAAGCTAAAGATGAGCCCAAAAATGATGGTTAAGATGAAAGGCGATAATGATGATGATGATGATGAGTTAAGATTGCCTGTGATTCGTTTTATTCAATTGCTTTTACCAATCACTTGAGCAAAGTAAAGAGCACAACAGAAGTAAATTAAGGTTGAGAGAAGAAGAAGAAGGAAGAAGAAAAAAAAAAGTTTTCCAGGTAAATATGCAAATAAGAGTTGCAATTCTCAAGGCGACCTTTAATCTAATAGACAATTTTCAGCCAACAAAAGTGAATAAGAGACAAAAATGAAAGTTTCGATAAAGTTTTGCATCGACCTTAAAAGGTATTCAGATTGCACAAGCATTTCATTTACACTGAAAAAGAGCAACATTCATATCTTGAACTTTTTTTTGCTCGCCTGGATCTTCCCTTGTTTCAACCTTTTTTGCACTCTCATTGATTCAGTTGAAAACGGAAACGAAATCAAGTTGAAAGCGGAAAAGTAAATTTGCTTCTCGTTAATATTTCAAGTAATGCTAATGATACATGCATTTGTAATGCAAATAAAACATTTTCCAACACCAACAATGCATAATTTTGTTTGACCATTTCATTAATACTTTTACCATTAACCAGTTTCAGGGGTTCACCAAGTCTGAATGGAAATCAATCTGGAAAATGGTGAACTTCTCATGGTAAATTTCATTACTAATCAAGATTATTGTTTTCCATTTCCATTTCATTTCTAAATTTACTTTTCATCTCAACCTTTTCCCATCAATATGCACTTCATATCCTTTCATTGCCATCATTATCCATGAGCACAAATTCACCAAATGTTTGAAATGAAAAGAATTTTTTCTTTCTCCTTTTTTCTCACTTTAACCTCATAATAATCTGTGTTTCTCAACTTGATGAATCAATTTGTCGTGTCCTTTTATTTTAAATTGAATAGTAAAATGTTGAACATTTACTTTGGCTGTTAACTTAATTAAGAATGAGGTTGATTTTTGAGGTTTTTTTGTGCAACTTTGCAATTGAATTTGGGAAAAGAGATGAAAAAAGGCTGAAAAATATTCAACTTTAATCACATTCTTTGAATACATTAAAGTGACGCCATATAATTTAAAACTCAAATCCTTCTGTTTTTTAATCAACAATTTACTGCTGGGAAACATTTGACAAATCCTTTCAGTTTTGCCTGTTCTTTCCCTTTCCTTTTCTTGCTACAAAATGAAACCATTCAAACATTGTAATTGTGATTTCAATTATTTACTTCAAGAGTGAAAAATGTTGGCAAATATAATTTTCCATTGAATGGAAGGAAGAAAAAGTATAAAAACAAGAATTTTGAATCACTTGGAAATTGGTTGAAACAGAGAGCATTTTGTTCAATTACTTGCTCAACTTGGAGTGTCAACCTCCCAGTCGTCTGAGCCAGACTTTATCAACTGGAAATTTTTGCAACAAAATTAAAAAATTTGACAAAAAAGGTGTATTTCCATGAAATCATTTATCCATTCTAGCCAGTCATGCATAATCGATTTCGAGTTTCCTTTATCAGTTATTGAAATAATGAAAATATGAATGTGACTGGGAGTGAATCAGAGACTGTTGACTCGAGCTGATTTGGGTTCATTTGGATTGGGCTGATTCTATCAAGGGTAAGACTGACATGGAGTTTGTTTCAAAGTTTAAATATCAAGTGAGTTTATTCAATGATTTATTAGAAGAGAAGGCCTGATATTTCATATTTATATTTATATAGTGAAACAACTCAGAATATTATTGAATTTTCAGTCAACCAGAAAATTTGAGGTTACCATGTTTTGCCTATTCCAAGTCAAGAGAATGAGAGAAAGAAATTTTCCAAATGTGATTTTTTCTCAATGAATAAAGCAAAAATTGCGTAATTTGGAATTTCGATTTTTGACGAAAAAATCTGTTGCGATGAGATTGTCTCACTTGCATGATGCACTTGTTGACATGAATATTTCAATAAAACTCATTCTTCAAAATGTTGCTAAATGTTGAAAAGAAAATCAAACTCATTTATTTCACAAATTTGGTTCAAAATCTCACGAGCCAATCATACTGAAAATGTATGCTTCGAGAGCTGAAGGGCCATTGATTCGAAGTTTCAAGCTCGTATAAAATCTTTTCAAATATTTTTCTCTTCTGTTTATAGCTAACTTTGGTGTTTACTAAGTTCGATGCGTAAGTCAGAGTCTGTAGTTCGGGTGCTAGAATAACTCCTTACAGCACCATATAACTCAGTCTTTTAGCTCGAAATATCTATTCATTGAAAAACATGAAATTCAATGACATGGAAACTCTGAGACTAACGAACATATTCATCATTCAGGAAAGTTCATTACCAAGAATCGCTTTGAAGAATCGGAAATACAGGTAATTTCGATTACCATTGCTTCTTTGGTGAATGCTGTAACAAGAGTTTGATAACAATAACTCACTTGAAATGAATGCAAAAAGTCAAATTCTGAAAGTGATTGAATTTTACGATTATCATGAGAATCTTTGAGACGGAAATGAAGAAATCTGGATAAAACCGAAATTGAAATATCACTTTCAACTCCTGGAATTGAAAAGGAAATGAAAACGAATGAACCAAATTTTCAGACAAAACTCGAGTTGAAAAGTTTATCTGACTTTTTGTCAGTGCAAACCATTTTACTTCAACATTCCCTTTGAATTGAAAAAAGAGCAAAATTCTTACAGGGAATGACTTTTTAATAATGATAATAAAACAATATTTTATCATTAATATTAGTTTCTTTTTCACTTCTTTTTTACAGTTCAACTCTACACATGATAATTATGACGAGTTAACAAAATTTTCATGAAAAGTTGCCTTCATCACTGGGAGTGAAAATTTGCAAATGATAAAGTTGAAAAATATTTGTATCACTATCATCATCACTATGATAATGGAAGAGCTGGGAGTAAAGTTTTGTGTCAACTTTTTTCTTCTTCCCTTTTCTCAAAGTTGATCCAATTCTCATATGAATTTGTTTCCCGTATCATCACTCCATAAGAATCACAATCTGGCTTTTTTTACCTTTTTTTCCTCTCTCTTCAACATTCACATGCTCATGTTCATGTTTGATTTCAATTCACATCTCTTATCATCATTATCATCATCTCTTCAAATGTAAATTAACTTGATATTCATGTAACATTGAGTTGACAGTTACCAAGAGACAAGTTTTTACTCTTTTTTTTCCTTCTCATCCTTTTCCCTCTTTCCTCTATCAACACCTTATATTTTCTGTCTCATGAATAGACAGTTTTCCTTTTTGGATGAAAATGATGACGCTGTAAATGGTAGTTACATGTAGATGACAAGTTATATTTATTATCATCACAATATTTGAAACGTTTCAATGGAAGACGAAAAGTAAAGGAGAAGAAAAAATTTGTCCGTTGAAAGGCAACTGATGAACATCAACTTTGGATAATGAAAATATTAAACATTGATGAGTTTGAATTGCAAAGTTTATCATTAAACATGACATTCACTTGAGAATAATTTCCAAAGTTATTAAAGAAGAAAAGGGTTGAAATTGTTTCATTTTTCCTTCTTTTTCGCTTTTCTCGCTTTTCTACTCTTCTTTAGCTCAATATTTGCCCAATGCTGGCAAATGCTGCTAATGGCAGTTGATGATTTGTCTCAATTTTTCAGACTCAATCTTTCAATGTTTACTCGCTTTTTACATTTAAACAAATATTGCAATAGGAAGGAAATGAAAACGGAAATAAACGTTTTCCAGTCTTTGTTGTAGTTTCAAGCGTAATTTGTTTACTAATAATAATGTGTGGATGATAATGATGATCATGATGATTGGAATGACCAGAAGGGAGAAAAGTGAAAAGTACAGTGACAAGTTGAGGGAAGAAGAGAAAAGGTTAAATCAAATTGTGTTGCCTTTTCATACAGTTCAACAGTCAATAGTGAACCTCATGTTGAACAATATTTACTCTGTCAACTTTGATTGAACTAGCATGTACAAATCATCATGTATTATCATCATCTGTGTCTGGCTAGAAGGGGCTTTTTGTTATCATTAAACACGCAATATGAGTTGGTCAAAGGAAGAGAGAGAGAGAGATGGAAATGAAAGAAACGATAAAATGAAAGTAAATGAATCAAGGTTTTACTTCTGTGAATGACATGTAATTGACTGTTAATAAGCCATGACGAGCCGTGAAATGAGAAAGATGATGCAGGGAGGTTAGAAGTGATGAGGAGGGTGAAGAGGAATAAGGAATGATAAAGGATTTAGCTTGCTATTTAATGATTATGCATCACTTAGCAAGTGACTTTGCATCTTGTGTTATCATATTATAAGCGTAAATAAAAGCAAACAAGAAATTAATTCACAGTCAAAATAGTGTCAAAAACTGATCAATAAAAAGTAATGAGTAAAAAAGTCTGTTGAGCATTAGACTAGTGCAAGATATCAAATGGCTGTGTTTGATGGTGAGAGTGAAAAGTGAAGGCAACAATAATTGCATCAGTTGAGAATAATTGTCAGTTTAATCAATAATCAATTTTATATTTCAATCAACATGCAGATGAAATGTAAAGAGATAATGTGGTTTCAGCTTTTCCTTCAAATCTGAGCCAATGTTTAGACAATTTTGTTTTTGATGGCTGACCAGTGTTTGCATTTGAAGAACTAAACAGGAAAAGTAAACGACTATCTAAAGGATTAGACTATTGTGAGAGAATGTCAATTTTCATTGAACATTAATCAGTGGAGGAAATCGAGAAAATACAGTTTTGGACACATTTATTGGACTGTTATGCGTAAATAATGTCGAAGAGGGAATAAAATTTTTTTAATTCGACTGTTAGCAACAGTTCAGAATCATTTAGCTCTTTTTGATTGAGAGGCTTCTTTTTTGCAGCTTTCTACGCTCAATCCTTTTCGCTGTTAGTGCTAATGAAACAAATTTGTCTCGGCTAATTAAACATACTGTTCAAGAGTTATGAGTGTTTAAGCATGATTATGGATGCTTAGGTACTTTAGATGATTAGATGAGAATCGATTCGGAAACTTGTCATTAGGATTGCAAACATTTAATGCAAACTTAGCATTTAATTCTTGATTCATCACAAATCTTAATTAGTACTAACGCTCTGTGTGTGGACAGTTCTTTAGACAAGATTATCGACAAAAATTTGGAACTTATAACTTGTTATTATAGTTTTCCCTATCAAACACTAAACCTTTCATTTTTAATTAAAAATTTTGAAAATTCGGGTGACACAGAATGGCTCGTTTCTTAGGTTCTGGATTTTTATTCAAAACTGTGATGTGATAACACTTGAAAAAGCATGTTTAAACGAAACTAAAGTGAGACTGGGAGTGAATTGGGATGGCTGGGAGTTGATCAACAGTAAATTTTGATGAGTTTCTATTCTTATTTAGTTAGCCGTTTGAGCTATTTTTTGATGAATCAATTTCAAAGTTGATTAAATATTATACTCTTGAATGATAGGATATGTTGAATGAATAGACTGTGAAAAATGTAATAATAATTTAGCTGTCATTAAGAAGTAAATGATAACAGAAGGAAAAGTTGAAGTGCTCTTTTAGTCCAATTGTACCATAAAAGCAAAACTTTTTTTTGTTTTCCATACTTGAAGCTTACTTTTTGAGGGTGAGAGAGCACATTTTTATTCAAGATAAAAGGGAAAATAATTTTGACACAAAAACAAGGAGAAGATACTGGTGATGAGCAATGATGGGCAAAGAGATGAGAAGATGAAGGAAGATGGCAGAAGATGAAAAAGGAAGGAAATGATGAAAAAAGAGTGAAAATGAAAGAGGAAAGGGCTTTAACTTTTGATAAACAAAAGTGGCAAAGATATAAATAGATGATGAAAGTGAAAAGAAATGGTAATTTGTTTTGAACAAGTGAAAGTTTCTTCGATGAAGATTATTGAAAGATGAGGATAAAGATTGGCTTTGAAAAGAAGATGAAATAATAAAGGCGAAAAGGAATGATGAAAGAAAGAAGAAGATGGTAAAAGAAGATGAGCGAAAAGAAAAGAGAATGAAAATGGAGATGAAAAATTTTCTAAGTCAATAGTGAATAGAGATTGATAGATATTATAATAGATAGACAATGAGGATTTTTGGTAACAAATTGTGAATCAAGATGATGATAACAAAGAGTAAGGGAATGATAAGAGGATATGGATGTTGATGTGAAGGAAGACAGAGTGGACAATAGAGAGAAAAGATAAGCTCGAGTAAAAATTGGTTGCAATAGAAATTGAAGAGAAAAAAGGGAAAAAAGTTGTTCTTTTCTAGATATTATTGTTATTTTTTTCTCTCGCTCTTTTCGCCTTTCACTTTCTTTTCGTCTCGTCTAGAATCGGAAATGATTTGGACAGGGAAGTGGTGAGGATAAGATGAAGATGATGGTGAAAAAGTTGAAGGAATGAGAAAAGAAGAGAAAGGAAGTGAAAATGTTAAGAAGATAATGGTTATTCACAGAGAGTTAGGCAAAGAAGAAATAAAAGGGTAAAGAAGATTAAGAAGCTTCTTTTATGTTGTAAAAGATAATGATGAGTTAAGAATGAAGATGATACTGATGATTATGATGATAATGATAATGATAATAACTTGCCATTTTCATTCTTTCTTTTTGTTCTTCTTTCAGTAAAAACAAAAGTAAATGCAATTCAGTGGTGAAATGCCAATGAGAAGCAAAAAAAAAATGGATAAAGAGTTAAAGTAAATGATATCAACAACTTACATTGTACAAAATGTCTGGATCCGTTTGTTTATTGTTTGAGGTAACTTGGGATAAAAGTATTTGACCATTTTGAGCTTGATCATTTTGAGGTGAACCTTTACGAGTTCCACCATCATCATTGTTTTGATCATTTCCATGAATCATGGATTGTATCCAGGTTGAATAGGTGACTGAATAATCTGGTCTCATTGAGGCAATTGTTGAAAACATCCGGTTAGCCTCATCAAGGCGCCTTTCATCTTTACTAATGAGTGAAGCGTAATGAAGTAAACCTTGAAGATGGTTCAATGTGATTGCCGTTAAACCACTCTTGTCAGCCAAGGGTAAACCCGAAGGTGAGGCCAAGCTGGGTGACACTTTGACTTCATGGTTACCCTCATTGTGGTTCATCATGGTGTCAGTGTTGGTCCCTTGGTTAACCAGCCTTTCATAACCGGGCAAGGTTAACCTTCCAGTTGAAGCAACTATACTTTGCTCCGTACCTCTATCGTCTCCATACGATGATGATTTTATTGATGATGGAGGCAACTCTTGTTGCTCTCTCTGTTTATCTTCAGACAATTTGTCATCATTCTCGTTATATGGGTGATGATGAGAAACAGGAAGATAATGGTTGGAATTTAATTTTGATGAAATTTCATTTGGTCTTGGTATTAAGTCTAATGCTTTACGATAAGATCTTTCAGCCTCCTCTAATCGACCAATTTTGGTTAATGCTTTACCCAAGTTGAGATAACCTCGAACATCATCTGGTTGAATTGAAACTGCTTTCTCATAAAAGCTCAAAGCCATGGACAAATTTCCTTGATTCTCATACAAACGGCCAACATTGTTCAGTAGCTTTACATTAGTTGGGTTAACATTTAATCCTGAAGTAAACAATGACAATTCATTTTGCCTACATGAAAAGAGAGTCACAGGGAGGGAAGAAGAAAAAAAGTTTAAAAATTAACCTCAATTGACAAGTTGAGAAAAAAAAGTCGAAAAAAAATGTGAACCAATTTTTACTTGTTCAACCTGAAAAACTAGGAAAATCGATAGAAAAAAGGAAACAAAATTTCTCATGAAATTATTTCTTTAGATTGTTCAATCAAGAATAAAGTTTCATTCATTCATTTGCATATTGATTGGCAAAAGTATTGAAATGATTTTTTAAAGTTGAGAAAAGATTTTCAAATTTTCCATTGAAAAGAAGGAAAAAAAAGTTGAACTAAATTCATTCGCTTTTTTCATTTAAAAAGATGAACATTTTCAGGCAAATTATTCTCAACAATAGATGAGTTGATTGATAGGAATAAATCAATTTAAAGGTTGATCATTTGTTCCATAACATCCTGAAACTCCATCAAAATATTCTTCATTCTTTTCACCAATTTTATCGTTGATTAAAAAGAAGAGAAAAAAAAAGTTTATTCCATCACATCGCATATTATCTATCAGAATCTATTTACAGAAGTTCGTTTCCATGGAAATTTTCTGCAAATTTTCCTTTTTTTCATCATTTTTCTTGTTCACTTTCACCAACTTTAAGTCCATATAGAAACATCAATCTTGCATTTGTCAACCAACATCATCTCAATAAAATGTTCATCTTTTCATCTTCCATTCATTTTTTCTCATCCAAATCATTCTCCACAATTAGGTTCAGTTATCTGAAGATTCTTGAGTAAAAATTGGACTTACCATTCGGTACATCGATGAACCGTTTTAACTAATAAACTTGAGGCACAAATAAAGGTCACCAGATGGAATAAGATTTTGATCCAATATCTGAGAAGAAAAAAAATTGGTTAATATCTTTTGGAATTGTTTCATTGAATGACTGAAATATCAATCAGGGAATTCAGGGAAATCAACTGTTCAATATGCTTGATGGAATCATAACCGGCTCACTTTACTTCTCCTTGAATTGACTCAAGTGAACTCATTTTTGATAAATCGAGTTCAACATTTTATTCATCTCAATGTACATATTCAATGGTGACTTTTACCTGATTCAAGTAAATACTCTTTGACCATTTTGATGCAAAAGCATCTCAAGTCTTGATCCAAAATCAAAGAACGAAAAATTTTCTTCTCTATTTATTGCAACTTGCCATTTGCTTTCATACCTCTAAGGTATTCCAGCTCGAATGAGTTACTCAAAATGATGTTATAAATGTTTGACATTATTTCAGGTAAAAATATAACAGAAACAAAATAGGTGAAAAGAAGGAAGAGAAAAGCGATAAGAAAAAAAGATGAGAAAAAATACAAAGAAAAATGGCATTTCTTTTTCATCTTGATCACAATTCCCAAGATTTCAATATTTCAATCCATTTGATGAATAGAACTGGACAAAATGTGGCGACAAAAGTCGCAAATGTAACAAAATGAACAGTTTTTACCAAACAAATAAACAATCCAAGAAGTCCAATAACATTGAAGCCATTCAATGATTTTCATCTCAAACTTGGACAAGAATATCTGTTTATGCAAATGACACAAAACTCACAACTTGAACATCATTAGAATGGAAGGAAAGAGAATAGAAAAAAGACGAAAAGTAAAAAAAATCATAAAAAGTTATCACTTTTTTCAATTTCATCATCAAGCCTTTCAGCCCATTGTTGCAGCCAATGGTAAAAATCGCTGGAAGCAAAACAGATGAATATTTAACGTTGCACTTTTTTTCATCATTTTTATTCTCATTTTATTTCATTTTCACATTTTAATGCGTTTCATCGTTTTTTGTGTAACATCATGATGTGCAAACCAATGAAAGCCACATTTGCTGCCTTGAAATGATCATGTTTAGGCAAAAAACATTAAAACCTACCAACAATGTTAACAGCAAAAAAAGATTATTTTTTTTCGCCAAAAAAAACTTTTCCTTTCAATTTTGCACTTTTTGTGTGTAACTTGACTCGGTTTGATCCATCAACATTTATATTCAATTGATATCAACTGCTTTGATCAAAATGAATCAATTGATTTGCAAGATAAAAGGATGATAAAGGGAATAATACTTTGGATGAAATTAAAAGCAAAATGATGATAAAAGGAAAAATGTTCATTTTCTGTGTTTTTCTCTTGTTTTTTTTCCAAATCATCTTTTCTGTGGTTCAATATTGTACGTGGAAAAGGCTTATTCATTCCCTTTCATCATCCAAATCATTTTTTCCTCTTTCTATCCTTTTCCACTTTAATCACTAATGGCACTTACATGGAATCATATTTATTCATTCAATCAACATGAAAAACACTTTATTCATCATTCATTATTATGAAGCAAACCTAAAGTAAACTGTTTTCCTTTACATCAACTTTGCCCATTTAATACTAATTCAAGTGTTTATTTTTCATGCTTTTCATTTGAGACTTTATTTCGCCTTTTTACTCTTTTAATCAATTACTTCATCTTTTCATTTAAAGTTTCATATCAACATTTTCAATGTAATCAAACAAAGTAATTTGAAACAAAATTGAATGCTCACATTGCGGTTGGAATGGGAAAAGAGCCATCAAAAAGATTTAACCTGAACTTGAAATTAAACTTTAATATGGCAAAGAGGAAAAAATGATTTTGACATTTTGCTAATTTTATGAGGAAAAAAGTTGCCAATTTAAAGAGTTTGTTGGCTGAATATTGATGAAAATTTTCAATTTTTTTGCTCTTCGATAAATGTTGAGCGAAAACTGAGAAATGTGAGAAACAGGGAAGGCATCAAATGATTATGATTGTCAATTAATAAAGACGATCAAGATTGGTAATGATGATATTGTCATTGGCTTCTTATTCAAACACAAGTGAGAATCAAATTTCACTCCATACAGGGAATGATAACTGGGAGGGAAAATTTTGTTGAAAGCAATCATTAATTATATTAATACCAATAATCAACTCTATTGATCAACATCATTATTTTCATTCTTTTTTCTTCTCCATATTCTCATGTTCTTTTCCTCGACTACAATAAAGTGAACATTTTTATTTGTCATAACCGATAATCTTTCCAATATTATCATATGACAAGTGAAAACATTTTGTTTCGGTTATTTTACTCGCTGGTTTACCAGTTATTTCGTTGATTCAAACTCAAATCGTTCAATTAAGTTTTAACTCTTTCTTGTAATGCCCTAAATCCAAAAATTTGTCAACCTGTTTGAGGTCATAACTCAAGAACAAAATATGATACTGTTGGTTGAAAATATCAACATTACTTGTTTTACTATAACTTAAACTAACCTTTCTATCTATCTAAATGTTCAATATGACTATTTAGTCATGATTTACCTTTAATCTAAATTCATTTCAATTTTTGACTTTTTGACTTTTTCTCCATATGTAGCTACTGAATCAGGAACCTCTGATATTCCTCGATATTTCTACATATCGTTAGCTTCCTCTCGTTGAGACAAATCTGGTGGTAACATTTGTTTACCTGTACGACTCATAGTTCATGAGAAAACCTCAGTTTCTCCATGAACTATGACTCCTTCAAAGTCCTAGGGAAAGTGTCCACTGTATCTCAACCACTCAACCTAATAACTTAATCTTTCTTTTAATCATTTACTATTCACCTACTCTAACTAACTACAACACCTAATTTCACCCCTTAAAGCTAGAAGCTATTTTGACCCTTTCAACTTGACCATTTTTACCTGCTTAAGCTATTTTCAACCTATTGCTACAAACAAACACAAATCCCTAGAGGAACTCACATTCCTTGGTTTTCTTCCACTTGTCCATCTCAACCGTCAAACAAACTCTTACTCACCGAGGACTCAAAAGGGCTGTCTTACCTGCCCTACTATAAATACCTAAAATGTCACCTTAACACTTATGGTGTATATTGTATGTCGATGGTGTACTTTTGTTGTCTGTTTAAACTTAACTAGTTTTGTATCTTTTTTGTATTGTCTTCTTGGTGTTAATTCACTTAAGTTGAATCTGTCAATTGCTTCTTCATCATCCTTAACAATTTTGAATAAACTTGTTTAAATTGAATATTTTGACTTCATGTCTGTTTGGTCTGAATATTGACCGTGTGTTTTGTTTTATTTGATTCATCTTAACCTTATTGAATTCACCATCATAACCAACAGATACGAAGTTCAAACTTTGACAGAAAAAATAAATCACTTTACTTCGAATTTCAACTTCTAATCGACTCTTCTGAATCAGCAACAGCTCACCGTCTAGTTTACTTTTCGCACTTTGGTTTGCTTAAACACATTTTGCCAAAATTCGTCAACCAAGGCTTCAGTCTCATGCGTTTGTAAGGATAAAATTGAAAGCCAGAATTTTCTCGTCGACTTGAAGTTATCGACTTTGAACAATGTCAAATGTTTCTAATAACATTCTCAAGGTCATTCAAGGTCATGCTAATATTACCATGGAATGAAAAATAAAGGAAATTTACAAGAGTTTCGCTCTTTATGACAAAACTAATCATCAAATGGATAACAATTTCAAGGGAAATTCATTTTAATTGTTTATTGTTTGGACTAACTTTAAATTGGCAGCAGGTAAATGCAAATATTACCTTAAACACTATCAAGTAATGCAAATGTTTAAAAAGAAATTCAATTTTGTAGAAAGTGGAAAAAACGTGATTTATTTTCTGCCAATTAAATTGAGGTAAAATAATGACTTTTATTTGATTTTTACAATGAAACAAGTGAAACACTTTCTTCTGCCAATTGTTATCAACATTGAAAGTAATTTGATATTGTTGCTGTTGATACAAAGTTGTCTGTTAATTTGAACGAGAAAATAATTACTTATCATCTAATAAAGTATATCACATTGGATTGTTCAATTAGAAACAGATTGTTGTCTCTGGTAAAGAAGAGTGAGTGAGAGAGAGAAGGAAAAATAATGGCAAAAAGGCAAAGGAAAGGTTGAACAAGAGAAGAAGAAGAAGAAAAAATAAACTTTTCTCTTTCCATTTACACTCAACTCTTTTCATCCTCAAGCAACTATTGATGGTGATAAAGATAGAAGTGAATGGATGCTGAAGAAAGGAGTAAATGAGAAAGAAATGAAAGTAAGAAGTGAAAGGTTAGGATAATGTGAAAGTGAAAGATGATGATGAAAAGAAGAGAAAAGTCGCAACAAAATTAGATAAAGTCACAGTCAAATGATACTAATCACTTTAATGGATAAACTCGCAATCAAGTTAACAATCTCGAGTAAATTCAAACCGGTAAAAGTAATAACTCAAACCAATTGGTAAATAAATATTTTCCCTCAAATTCAATTGCACTCACCAAATGAACATGAACAAAAAAAACACCAAAAATGCTAATCAAGTCAAGACGCAAGATGGAAAATTTAGAAATTGCAAGTTTTCCGTTTTCTCGATTGTTAATTGTTATCAATTATATTAATTTTCATCTTGAAACAACTCGTACAATCTCTTGAGATAACATCATTAAACGAAGTAAGCTCATTTAATTTTATCATCATCATCTAAATAACATCTCATTATGAGAGCAACTTTACCAAATGTAATTGAATTTACTTTTTTTGTTTCACTCCATTCAATGATAATGATAACAATAATGATAATATAAAAAAACGTAAAATAATGCTGATAATAATGCTGTTGGTAATGATGATAATGATGTTGATGATGCTGATGATGAAGATAATGAGAAGATGAAAATTTGGTTAAGAAAATATTTCATTTTTTCGTTTCTCTCTCTTCTGTTTACCTTACGATATTGCTATTTACAGAATTGAACAGTTGAACCTTTTACGGCCATTTCATCAACTTACCTTTTACTTTTTATCGATGAATAAAGCAGCACAAAGCCTCGAGCGATAATAATTGAGAAACCCATTGAAGGTAAATATAAAACTCTTTCGGCAATAACAAATCCCAATGGAAAGAATATATTGGATGCTGGTAAAAAGGTTATCATCATGAACCCCAATCCCTGTTGGAAGAAAGTTTCAAGAGAGAAAAAAGTTGAAGAAAAGGGTTAGAGTTGATTGAAAATGAATAATTAATTTGATAATAATGGGAAAAGGAATGAGAACTTTGTTGAGGTAAAGATTCGATTTTTTTGTTTTCTTTTTGCTGCCATTTTTGCTTGCACTCCCTGCCAAGCACATTAAACATGATATTTTCTTGCTATTCAATTTGTGATAACATTTTTGCTTTTCAAATGTCTTTCTGTGAAAACTTTTGTAATCACCAATTTCCGATTCACAGTTGCTTCTCATAAACCAATTTAATGATTCATTATTTCCGATTTTCAAATTGAAACAAATGATCAACCTTACAGTTTGCCTGGTTTTGATCAATAAACCAGATAATCTGACTTAACCTTGTTAAATGGTCAGCTTATGTTTTTATTATTATTAGCCTGCCAATGGTTATCAATGATCAGTTTAACTGTTTCTTTCAGCTTCAAGTTTCCTTCCCTCTTTAGGCCTGCTATTTTTACGTTAAATTGAAAAGGTAAATGCTGCTTTGTTTGCTGAGAAGCTAAGAAAGTTAATTCAATTTTGCTGTAAAAGAAGGTAAAAATGTTAACAATGGCAATGATAATTTAATTGAAACTTGATCTGATTCCGAAAAGCGCTGATAAATTTGTTTCCACTGTCAACATTTTACGCCCTTTTCCGTGTTTTATCATGAAATTGAATTACGCGAAGTGACCTTATAATGTATCAAATATGTTTATGAAATTTTTGACGGTAGTAAATTTTTATCGGAGCATAGTGCAATGAAGTAAAGATTAAAACTCAGGACGCTTATGAAAATTACCCTTAAAACTTTATCTACGCTAAAATATCTACAAAAATACAGTTAGTGTCTGTTAGATGTTCAAAGCTCATGCTAGCCAAAAGATATGAGTAATTCCATACCGTTCAGATAATCAATTTATTTGGAAAAATGCGGTTATCTTACAAATAGTAGGAGTTATGAACATCTAACAAACATTAAGGGATCTGAAAAATTTTGCCATCTTAGAAAATGACCTTCAAATGTCAATTAGAGGTCAAATAACGGAGTGATCTTGAATGACTTTGAGCGTGCGAACTTAAGATTCTGCAATCTTTGAAAGGTCATGGTGCAAGTCTGAGGTCTGTAGCATCAACCGTTCTTGGTTATGGCTGCAATTAGGAGTAAAATGAAAAAATGCCCGTTATAAATCCTGATAAACTCTTCAAACAATGAACTTCTAGACTATTTATTTTGCTCTGAAAAATTCTCCAATCGCATTGATTTGCTTCGAAAAAACTGTATATTTTTAATAATTTATTGAAATTCAACAATGAATGCTAGTTTCTAGCAAAAGTAACACAAGAGAATCTAAAACTTCATCCATTTATTCAATTAAAAGAAAGGAACTGAGTTTTGAGTTTTGTCAAAATTGAACAAAAGATGAACAAAAATAGCAAAGTTTACCATTTAAAAGGTCAAAAGGGTTAACTTTTATCATTTTAATTATACTCAACTTTTGTCTACAACTTTTTAATTGAATTAATGTATTTTCTTATTTCCCTTTATTTCGTTAATTGCTTCAATTTGATTAAGAAATTATTTTTGTGCATCAAAATAAGTTGATGAGCATCATCATCATCATCATCAGATTCATTAGTTTACAATCATCTTGAGTTAAGTTTTGTTTCTTTTCTCCTCTTTGCTCGTCATTTTTTAATGATTACAGTTAAAGATAAGAATATAATTTAGCCCTGTAATGAGTTTTTGTCAAACAACATGAAACCTAACAGCAACATTGTAAATGCCTTAATATCATCATGATAAAAATTCAAGACTCGAGTAATTAAAGAGAGCGTTAAAAGTGAAGAGAAAGCTCAAGCAGAAATGTCTAAATGATGAGCTTCTCTGAATTTTTCCTTTTCTTTCCATTCCAAGAGTTTACTCATGATGAGTTTACTAATTTTTCAAGTTTTTCTGTTTATTCCAGTTTTCTAACGTTCACAAACAACTGTCATTGCATCCTTCATCATCATCAGTATATTATTGGTTCTGTTCAAGTTCCGGTTATGAGGTTTCCGGATTGGGATAACATTTAATTATTAGCTGGCTGATGAGGAAAGAAAGGAAAGATAACCATGAACCAGGGAGGCAAGAGAATAATGATGAGCCTGAAAGTCTGTATTCAAGTCTATAACAATAAGAAAAGGTTGAATGTTGAGAACGCATGAAATGACAAAAGGAAGCAAAGGAAGAATAAATTCTGAAGAGGAAAGGAGAAAATTATTGGCACATACTCGACTGGTTCATTTAACTTTGCTGATTATTGAAGATAATGTTTGCATCTTGTTTTGCCAATCACACAAGTAATAAAAAAGTACCAGAAATTAGGAAACGAGATAAAAGTTGAAAGGCAATTGTGTCAATACATTGCCTTCTGGTCATCAACTGTTAGCCTCTAAAAGCACTCTTCACTTTTAGTGTTTGGTTAGTTTGTGTGCTTTCATTGCAACCTTTACTTTTTGGTCTTGTTTTTGATTAGGATTTGGGTTGACTGAGTGGTTGTAGGAGAGGGAAGAGGAGAGTGTTAATGATAAGTGAAGACATGATGAGAAGGATAATGAAGATGCTTTTTTACTCTGGGTTGGGGTGAGGAATGAGAAATGCTTACCATCCATGAGACTGTATCTGATTGGAGTAAAAGGAGAAGAGTAAAGATGAAGGTGGCAAGGGTAATCACATTTTTAGGGTCAAGTAAAGATGTGATGAGTTGAATTGATGATGATGACCAATCACAAGACAGATTGAATGGATTCAATAAAAGCCAACAATTGTAAGTCCAAATGTAAGCATAGTTTAGTTGACGATAAGGTGATGCCAAAATACGTGCTGGATTATCCAGTCTAAGAGGAGAAGGGAAAGGAAAAAGATAAAAGGTAACAATTGGGTTACATCAATGGAATGCACAATATTGTTGTCATGATAAGGATCAATAAAAAAGGTCAAAATTATTCACTTTTTTGGCTGGTCAAATGAAGATTTGTGACTCAACTTTTGGCTCAGTCAGCTTTTATGGAAATGAAGATTTTTTATCTTTCCTCTTTTTTCGCTCCTCTTTTCTTGCAACAATTTACTCTTTTCATGATCAATTACACGGTTAGTAAAGTCGTTTATCAAAGTGTTGCATTGTGATTAGTCTTTTTTGATAGTCATTTGATTTGTTGGTTTAAAGGTTAAAAGCCTCATTAGTCTTCTGCAACACTCTTTTACTTTTCACTTTTATTTCGCTTTCAAATGAACAAACTCATGACTAGACAATCTTGATTCAATCAATTCCAAAGTTCATTTTGTCTCTTGATTTACCAATAAAGAGTCGATTACTCCATGAAAAGTTGAACAATCATTTGCCGCAAAAATTCATCGAAATTCAACTTTACTTCTAAAAACACGAATCGAACCAAAAAAGTCAACAGAGCTAATTAACTGACAAATTCAGAACAGAAACTTAAAGTTTTCATTTTTAGCATTTTAAAATTTCTCAGCAATTTCTTCATTATTTTTGCGATTTCATTTCCATTAAATCGACCACTTAGAATAGTAAAAAGAATTGCGAGAAAATGGAGAATTTTCGTTTTTATCAGTTTGATCTGATCGTATTAACATCGAGAAGCAACAGAAATAAATTTTCTTTCGCTAATCAATGTCAATTATCAGAATATCGGATTAATTTGATTTTGAAATGCATTTTTTCCTTTACTCTTGCACATGTTGACTGGATAAAAATGAAGTTACAAATCCCATTGCGAGTTGACCAATAAAGAGCAAAGCTGTAATTTGTTGATACAATTTTGACCAGCTAAATGAAACTGACAAGAGTAAAGTGATCGAAGAATAAAAAAAAGATGAGAAAATAATAATTTTGCTTGTCCAGAGAAAAGCAAAAAGAGAAGCCAGGAAAGGGCGCAAAAAAGAGTCCAAATTAAATGAGACTTGTAAGGTTTACAATTATAATGAAAGTTGATTGAGCAGAGTAAAGGTTATCCATAGTGATAGATATACAAGTTAAGTCTCTCCCTTAGGGTGAAACCTGTTAGGCCGCTGTTGGTAAATGAAGTTGAGCCAAGGAGAAGAGGCGAGGAACACAAGGAAAATAATAAAACCATTTACAGTTATCATATCAGTTAATGAGATTGGATACATTTTTCTTCTTCTGCTTCATCACTTGTTTACTTTTACTTGCAATGTTGATCAACTTTTCATCCATCTTGATGTATTATATCGAGTTAATAAGACAATGTCATTGACCATGTTGAACCCTGAAAACTTGTCTCAACATCATTCACCATCAAACTTGATCAACTTGATATTTACTTTTCTTCCTTTTCCTTTTGCCTTCAACATTAAGCCCTTTAACATTAATTGTTGATATTAAGATATAAAAATCTTGCATTGAGTAAATCAATGGAAACAAAAAGGTTGACAGAAACTTTGAAATCGCAAACCAGTGAAACATTGATAAAACTATGTCAAGAAAAAGGCTGATCAAGTAACATTCGGAATAAAAGTGGAAATTTCAGTCACAATTTTAATTTCGAAGAGTAAAAGTTCTCAGCTTATCTTCCAACCAAAATTTCTATCGAATTCCTTATTCCTTCTGAATTATGGACAATTAACTGATCTTTCTAGTGTCCGTTCTAGTGCCAGTGATTCATCTCATAAACCGAACATTTTTTATCTTCTTTTCCATTCTTACTGATCATTATCTCATATTCAATCTGATGTTGTACATTTGTTGTTTTCTTGCTAGAGGCTATTTGAATTAAAGGATAATGATAATCATCTTTCATGGAAAAAAACTCGAAATTTTTCTTCTTTTTACACTTTTTCGACCTTTTTGTTGACAAAATATTTTCACCGCTTGTTAAGTGATGAATAATCTGAGTCAATTTATTGACAAGATTTGTTGCCATTTCCAACACTTTTATAACACTTGTTTTGACTGGGAAAATATCGTAATAATCTGATTGAATAATTGGGATTTATTTAGAATTCTGGTTTATCTTCAATCCTTGTTTTTCTTTTTCCCCTTTTCTCATGTTTTCCTTTTCTTTATTAACAGATTCTTTTGCCTTCTTTGCTCTCTCCTTTTTTTTCTGTCTGCTCAGTTTCTTCATTGGTCAATACTGATTCTTTACACTGATCACATATTCTGTTAATGATGTTCTGAATCATGGAAAATGATGATGATGATGATGATGATACTTTTTGATCTCAATAATCGTATGATAATGATATTGGGAATGATCACAAGAATTGTAATGATCTAGTAAAACAGAGAATCACAATTGAGAATCATTTTGTTGTTTCAAAATCTTACTGTCAATAGACTGACAAAAGTCACTGTAATCATTTCAAGTGAATATCATTTTGTATTGAGACGAAAAGCTTCTGTGTAAATGTTGAATCAAACTACGAATAAAGAAAAACATTGATTTGATTTTCCAGTTTTCAGGGTTGCAGTTGTTCATCTTGTCATTATTTTTGTCAACCGTTTTTGCCTTTTCTCAACTTTTATTGTCACAAAAGAAGGGTTTTCAATGCATCTTGGATTTAGTAAACGATGAATTAGAGTTGGTCAAAAAGTACAACAATGAAAAGATGGTGATGATGATGATAAGAGGTGCGTTGGAATAATCATTGAAGATATAAAAGGAAAGGGAATAAAAGGTATTTTGATTGTCAACAATTTACTTTTATCATGGCAATCGTTAAGAATGGAAAAGGAAAAGGCGAAATGTTTGTTTGCTTTTCATGTTACTTTGATTGTCAAGTGAATCAGAAAACAGCAACAGAAATGACTAAAGATATTAAAATGTGGAATATGTTCATGTCGACACTAAATGAAAATAACTTTCATTTTAACATGCCTTTTTCTGTTATTTACATACTTTTCTGTACTTTTTTATTTCATTAGTCTCATTATCAATGGTCGATGACCTCTGAATGACATTTAAAGTTTGATTTCTGAGATCGCAAAATTGTTAGATTGGCTAATGTATGCTACTAGTGTAACTTACCCGCCGATTTTGCACTCTGAGAAAAAACCTTTTAATGTCATTTAGAGTTACCTTGAATTACCTTGACCATGAGTGTTGTAAATCATAGTTTTATAATCTGTTGAAAGTGCGTGATTTGAACCCTAAGTCTGTAGCATCTACAGTTATTTAGCGTCACAAAAAGTCTTATAATGAAAGAAAAAAAATTTGGATTTTCATTCAACGCTGGTGGTTTTTGCCACATAGGAATCATATTTTCTACAAATTGCAGAGTTACTACTCTCACGGCTCCTAGATCAACTTTTGCAACACTTTTCTTTCGTTACTACAAATTAAAATATTTGACTTATTTTGTCGGTTGAAGGCGCAGCTACACTCAACGCTGGATGAATTTTATCATTTTATTTCTGATCACCATGGCAGGAGATGTAATCCCGTTTGGACAACGTAGAGTCGTTGAAGCGATCTTTAGCCACGGTGAGTGCACCAGGGATCAACCTTGTGGGAATAAGGTGTCGAAATTCCCGTCCATTCATGCTTGTACAGTGGCGTTATCTTAGACGAAAGTTTTAAGTTGTCTTCAACCCCGAATCGAGTTTCAAACTTCACTCAGAGCATTTTTTCTTTTAAGCCTGTTTAGTTGATTCATGAAATAGCTATGCTACCAGTCACAAATTTGGGTGAACTTGTGAGACTTCAATCACTCTCAACCCAAGATCAGACAAGGTCAAACGGTTATTTGACCTTTCGATGCACACTGCAGACTTTTACTTTAGTTCTTACGCTGTATTACTCAGGGTTCGAAACCTCCTAACTCGCCAAGCTTTTTCCCCAGCCACTTTGCATAAATCTGAAGCAAAAAAGCAACAGATGAACCGGTAGATGACGCGATGAAAAGAAACAAGCAAACAGAAAGTCAGTTTCGCTTGATTAGCATAATATAAGTGTAACATACTGTAAGTGAAGTACGCTGAATGACAATGCAATCAGATTTGAATCTGCACCTTTTCGTGAATTTTTCCCATTTTATAAATGTGATGAGTTTGAAAAATAACTGATGTTCAGCAAAAACACGCGTTTCAAAACAATCTTTAATTCTGGTCTTGACTAATGTAATCAACTTGCATTACTATTTTCAGCATGTAAATATAATCTGTTTCAGTTCGTAAGATTAAACTTTTACTTGCCCTGAACTTGTTTCAATTAATGAATTGTTAATTATAGCTAAATTAAACCTGTTCAACAACGTGTAATTGATGTTGCTTTGAAAAAAGGCGCATTTTTTTCTCTCTTCTAATTCTGTAAAAAGAGTTCCTCCCTGAACATTAATCTGTTTCTAATAAGCAGGGTGTGTTGAAGTTTGTCAACAATCTTCATTTACCAATTAGTATTTTCCAGTTGAAAAAGTGACTCTTTTCCTTCTTGTTCATTCCTTTTTTACTCCTTCCTTCAAACTTCATCTTACACTTGCTTGTTGCTGAAGCTCAATGCTGGGAGTTTCAACTCCCAAAGGCTAACATGTTAAGGCAATAAGCCAAATGTGAATGGCATGTTTATGTAGTTGTTGTTGTTTTTGTATTAAATTAAACTAAATTAAATTTGGTTCGGATAAGAGGAGAAAAATTTGGATACACAATTTTTCCAGATAACTTCATCAATTCCATGTATTATTTACAGTGAGCCTAATATCACATGATAATCTGATGATCGCAAAGAGACGAAAAAGCTCTCAATTCGGATAAAATTCAAAGCAAGTTTCTTCTCAACAAATTAATTCTCCCAGGAAAATGGAGCCAAAAAATGGAAAAAGATGAAATTTCGGAAAACTTCATCCAGACTTGTCATTA